TCCAGAATTCATCCATCAGCCGTCCTCAGTATTGGAGGGGAGCATATGAAAGCATCACAGCACATGGCCTTTTCATAGGAAAAAATGGAGGGGGCCACTACCACTTCTCAATCTAACGACCACTACCACACAACCACTCTCCCATGGCCCTCACAAAAATATTTTTCACGCTCTTGCGACTGGGTTTCGGGGAAAATTTTGCTATTGAATGACAAGATTGGTCATACGGTGGATGGCGATTACGATGATTTTGTTTTCGGATGCCGTTAGTCACCATACCGGATTTTAAAAAGGCTTGTTCCTCGAAACTATGTTCTTACCTATGTTTTTGAAATTCTTGTTCTTTTGGCCCTTAATCCAGATTCTCGAAATTTATACTGCGTGTATCGTATTTTATGGTTTTGGGCAGAGATTTCGGGGAAAAATTGCCTTTGAAGACAAGGTTTGTCCTACGGCAGATGCTAAAAAACGTGATTTTTTCTGATGCCTTTCATGCTGCCCTTTAAAAAGCGGTTTATCATAGTTTTTAACTGATTCTGGTTCTGGCTTGGTTTATTAAAAAGTTGTTGTTGAGTTTTTGAGATGATTTTAATTTTCGTTTTTTGTTTTTTTTTGGTCATTTTTAGAGAATTCCTGTTTCTCTATGTAATTTATTGCACTTGATTCCACATTCTTCAAATTTTTGGATGTATAAAAATCGTTTCTAAGTAATTCTGCGAGATTTTACGCTTTATTTGGCCCCTCTTAAACCCTTACTTACACTCCAAACTACAAACCATCTATTCGATCCTAGCCCCGGAAGTTCAAGCCGTTTTTTAATGACACCCATACATCGAGACCCACGTTTCGCGTTCCTTTAATTGGGGAGTGCCTTCCTCTGCTAGCCACTTTTAACCACAGGGGGAGGAATCTGGATCTGAAGAGAACATGCCCACGAAAAGCAGATCGGCCAGGCTAGAAAGCTTTTTATTCAGACACCATTTGCTAAATTTTGTATTTAAAGGGATACCCAATGTTTTAGCGGCAAATATATAGTTATGTATTCCGGAGAGTACAAATGACGCGTGAATTTTGTGCGGTAACGGACGCCCAGTGCCGCACAGAATTCGGACGCTTTTCCCTCTTGTGGCGTCCCCATCTCAACCAATGGCTTGCCACTATGGCCTAATGGATAGCACCCAGGTATTCAAAACGAGGGTCCCGGGTTCGACCCTCGCCCGCGTCGTGGTTTTTACTTTTTGAGCCTCGCAAATGTTGGGTATCCCTTTAAAGAGGGGTTCTGTGTTCGAATAAGAACTTCTATTTTTCCTGAATAAGAACATATCCTGGCCCAAACCCAAATTTCCGCCTCAGACCCACCGCCACTCCACACTAGAGAGCACGACATACACACAAAAAGGCATCTCCATTCCCGGAAGACGTTGACAATCAGAAGTCGTGTGCTGTGGCAGGCTGCCGGGGTGAAACGCGATTTCCAGCCATCCCCTTTCCCCACACAAAATCTGATTAGAACACCCACACCCAACTTTTGGGGTGGGCTGTCGAGGATATGCGCGCCGATGGCCAATTTTTGAATATAATTTCATTTCATTCGAATTTTCCTGGGATTTTGAGTTCGAGTTTCGGAAGCGTTTAATCGTTCGAAAAAATTTCATTTTTACATTTTCTTAGATAGAATGCCCTGCTGGCACGCCCCTTTAAAGCTCTTTTCGGCGAGAGGGTGATTTGCATAATTCCGGGCCTTCTTCCCGTCTTCCCGGTGCCTTTCATTAGTGCAAAGCCTGCCTAACGTGCTCTAAAATACCCGGAATTCCGCTAGCGTATGGTTTTCTTACAGTTTTAGTTGGATTCGTTTCGTCACTGAGCCCCAGCGGGAGCTTAAGCCTAAGCATAGGGTACTGTAGAAATAATACATGCTTCACTAGCCCTTTAGCGTATCTTGAAGAACGAAATTTCCTAGAATTTTTTAAAAATGTTTTTCACAGCCAACTTTTTCATGAAATCCTCTAGAAAAACTCTCGCCCCGCAAACACTCCCCCAAAGCCAATCTGTTTTTATAGCGCCCCAGAAGCGGAAGAGGTCTTGCCCCCTACGACCAACAAATCCATTTTTTGTGGTGCCCGTACCCCGGGCTTCATGTCCCCCTGATACATTTCTCAGCGCCCTCGCCCGGGGGCCCGCGTGAAAAAGCTGGACCACCGTTTTTTGCGCGTGTGTGTGTGGGGAACCACCGGGAAACTGGGGATGGCAAGCTGCCAAAATCAGATTTGGAGTGAATATACGGCAGTGTGGGGACTTGGATACTATGGAAGTTAGATGGGAGCCGGAAATGGGCCCCGTGCTTTTTGTAGATTGTTGAAACGGCATGGGAAATTTAGCTTTTAGCTTTGCGTCCGCAAATTAATTCCGATGACCATTAATGCTGCGACAAGATCAATACAGTTAAAGGTGCTTTGACGGTTGGGATATTCCTCACGCTCTCTCTCTTTCTCTTTCTGTCTCTTTCTCTCTTTCTCTCAATCTATCTATCTCTCTCACTCTCTATCACTCTATCTCGCTCTCTCTCGTTTGCGTGCGCTTTCTGGCTGTTAGATTTTTTTTGAAAGGACACTGTTTCTAATTACACAAAAACGTCGAAATAAAACCAAAGATTTTTTTGTTTTTAAAAGCTGTTTAAAAACCTACAGTACTCAACACCCAAAAGTATCGAAAAATAAAGAACCTGAGACTATAACCTAACTTCTAATAGCCCAATATGCCCCCAAACCCTCAAAAAACATCAGGAATAAACGTATAGCCCCACCACTGATTAGCATTGTTAGGGCCCCTCCGCATAGTTATTTTTCCAATTTTTTGCCATCACCTCCTCCCCCTTCCCTGGCCATTCCATGCCTTCCATTCCACTCCATTCCACTCTTTCTCCACTTCCACTTCTCCGTTTTTCTTGGCATCACCCCAAATTTGGTGTCAGCACCCCCCTCTGGGCCCGAAATGGGGCCGCCGCCGCCAAATTGGCGAAGCCGAGCCCCATATATAGGGAAATTTGGCTCGACGACCTCTTCTGGACCTTTGCAGGAAAAACCGGGCGAAAGAGAAAGGAAAGAGAAAGGCCATTTTGGGGGCGCATTAATTTTATTTTCGGGTTTTATTGGGGGTATTCGGGGAGGATTTGATTTTGATGTTTATGATGGGATGATGGGCGGGGGGAAAAACGGAGGGCTTGTCTTGACATCATTAAAATTTGGTTGCGTGCACAAACAGCCCGTTATTTTGTGTGGGTATTTTTCGGAGAAGCGCGTTTTTTGGTAGTCTGGGTAGTTGACTGCAAAAACACTGTCATACAGCTCAGCATTTTTCAGTAATGCAAGAATTTTATGCTAATTAGTCTGAGAAACTTTTCTTTGGTGTGCAAAACCATACATCTCTGCATGCCCGCCCCCTATTAACATAAAAAATATTTTTTGACAGACACCAAGACGACAATGTTCACAGAAACACCATTTTTCTTCGTTTTCAAGCCCTGAAAGTGTTTACATCCTTAAATTCGCTAATTTTACAATTCACAACACTGTCCTGAATTTTTAGATGAGAAAATAGCTTTATGCAAATTAAGACTTTTTCCAGCTTCTAGACCCGCTATTAACCAAAAAAACATTTTCCACTGTAAAACGCAAAAATGACAATGTTCCGAGAAACACCATTTGCACTCCAAGTCGTGCAATTCGCTAACATCATTTGAGCGCGACACCCCATTTGAGCCCCAGCCTAAAATAGAGTTCGCGACACTCGGGATCTTAGTTTTTCGCGACACTCGGGATCATTAGGTTTATGGAAGCAGGTGTGGTGAAAGGTGAAGTATGGAGGGAGAAAGCCGGATGTGACTGTGTGGCTGCTGGTCTTTCTTTTTTCTTCTGGGCCACGCGGATCGGTATGCGGTTGGGTTGAAGGGGGTGTGGCTCCGGCTCGTTGGGACGAGTAAACGGGCGTGGGCCAATGAATTCCAGGGCCCTTGCTTGTTCGTGCTCACCACGAATCCACCCCGGAGCCACACTCGCCTTCCATTCCCACAAAAGTCTATTTTATCGGGTGTCTGACTTTGACAAGTTTTGAGTTACCGGTTTCTTGACAAGTTCTGATTCATTAGCGGGGGGGGGCTAATTCTATCGTACTACTCTACACAAATTTTTATAGTATTTTTTAACAGATTTAACTTTTTACAACAACAGATTTTAAATTTTTTAATCTAAAAAGTTTTCAAACATTTGGGAAGATTTTTGCCCCACCTTAAATTTTTTATTGTTTTGAGACTTAGCTACATAACACGATATTTAATATTACTATAACACCGTAAAAATGCCCCTTTAACGAATCAGAACTAAACTCGCTCTCTAAAACCATTTTAAAGGTACCGGCAACCCAAAAACTTTTCCTCAGTCTCAGGCACCACAAAAAATACCCAAAATGTCGATCCGCCGCGACCCAGCTTCAAAATCCCCATGGCCACTCCGCCGTCACACCTATCACCATGCTCGCCTGCCCCAGGTTACATATCTAAAAATTAACAAAACTGGCTTGTGGATTTATTTAAGGTATTAAAAACACCGGTAAAATATGAGTATGAATTCCATACATTAAGCGCTGCGGAATGCGATCGCGCGTTATTTTTCTACTTTATTAGCGGGCCTTACGTGATGAAACTACACGGTCCTAATCCGAACACTATCCACAAGGCTGACTTGCCAGTCCTTTTAAAAACCAGTAATTCTACTCTAGGAACATACCAATTAATACTCGCCTATACTACCGTACTCCAAGCAAATGACTTGCCACAAAAATCATGGATGTGCTTTTCAGGGTTTTTGGGTTTTTGGGACTTTGCGGGATTTTGATATTTTGGGATCCCGGCTATAATAAAAAATTCAAATATGATTTTTTAGCGTTCATTGTCCCCGATGTTGCACCGGGGCTCTTCATCTCATCCGGATTCCCGGCGGTCCAGTATGGTCGACGCGTGCGGTCGTTTCTGCTCGCAGCCGACGTCCGACATGCCGGAGGTTTGTTGGTTCTAAGAAAATAACTTTATTCCATATTATTAAGATTTTAAATAGCTAGCTGTTGACACCCAATCAAAAAGCTTCGTCGATTCTGGCTTTCTAGTCCCTTTAAATTGATTAGAAAACCTCGGACACCAGCGATTTTGAACTTGCCAAACGCTGTGAAGTCCGGGACTTTCTATACTATTTGAAACGTCAACTTTCGTACAAGCCCAATAGTGTTCAAAATCATAAAATTAACTAAAAATGTCCATCTCGTCATTTTCGTACTTTTTAGTCAGCCTTACCCCCTTATAATTATTTGTTTCAGCTGCTCGTCTCGTTGTGCTACTACTCGGATCATGGGCGTTTGATCGTGGGCGTGGAGCGCGGCTCGTTCCCACACAAAGACGGCGAGACCACGAGGACGCCCGGTTTGTAGCCGTTTTTAAGCTATACTTCTTAGATCAGAACTATGGTATCGAGATCCATAAGTATATTATAGTCTACAAAACACTATCGAATTTCCATGATTCAATTATGCTATGAAATTAGACTAAATTCTACAAAAGCCGGCGACAACCAAATGTAAATGTCAAATTCGGCCACGTGCCAAAATGTATTCTAGCATTCGCCGATGCCGAAAACTAATTAGCATCCCGCCCAAAATAATCCCCTTAAGCCCCCGTTTCGTCAATTCGTAAGGGCACCAGGTGAAGCATGAAACAAAAATAACCATGGCCGGGTGTCTTTGAACCCAAAACACCTTTTGGATGAATAAGAGTTCCCCAAAAATACGCACGCAATACAGCCATCCTACTCCACTACTTTCCACAATATTACGCCGAGAATGGTAAATGCTTTGGCGGATCTGTGCAAAAATTTTTTTGGTTTTGCTTCTGGGGATCGTGTGGTCAGAATTGAATTCGATTTTTTAGATACGTTCGTGAAGATCGTTGCGCAAGCAGAGTACGGGTCTGAGATAGGAAAACAGAAGACGGAGACCGTGAAAGGGAGTACTGAGCCTAGATATGATTATAGTGCTTCGTTCCAGGTATTTATTTATTAAAATCTTTAAAATGGTATTGTGCTGTTAGCAAAGGGGGAAAGCGATCGCGTACGGTCTTACAACCAAATATAGGCTTTTTGACGTTTTGTACCGACTAGAATTTTCAAAAAGGTCTAAAATATTTCTTGTGAGTTTCTGGGCATCAAAAAGTATGGAAAGTATGATTTATTTTGGTTATTTTGGCGGATTTTAAACTCAAATTTAAAATGCTAAATTTGCACTGATTTGCATGTCTGATTTGTTCGGAATTTTCTTTGCAAAGTTTTTGGAAATATATCTAGAAGATTTGGAAATTAAAAAAAAATCAATTTAGCATGAGTTCTGTGCAATTTCTCAATAGTTTAAAGAAAAATATTTGCCGGAACCGCTTTAGCAGAATTCCAAGCTTTATTAATACAAAACAGAATATAGAGTTAAGTTCACCCTTTCAGATACCCCAGCACGAGCTCGAGACGACCTCGATCGTGCTTCAGGTTTGGACCTGGATTGGTGTCTTGCGGAGAAAGTCACAGATCGGCTGGTTTGCCCTTGGCTTGAATAGCTCGTCATCTGATGCCCAGGAGCACTGGAGCCAAATGATTCAGGTGCTAAACACCAATTTACATAGAATAAAAATCTAGGGCCTTGGCACCACCGTTTCGAAATGGCACCCGATACTGCCGCCGGAATAACGTTGAGCCCCCATTTCCGACTTTACCTGTGAACGCCATTCTATTTATTGGACATTTCATTTTGCGCCCCCTGAACAACGATCGACAGACTGTGTTTCCCGTGTACCTATTAATGCGTTGTGAACATGTAGCCCCCCCCCCGACCACGGAAGAATGTTACTGTAAATTTGGACACGTCTTCTCTCTCGCCACTATCATATAAAAATTGTTTGGATAAAGGGTTTTTGGAAATGTGCGCTTTTTCATGGCCATGGAACCCGAGTGGATTATTACCGTAACCAACGGGAAACACGGGTTTTTCGAGGGTGCTATTCGCATTAGCGTCCCGAAAAACCTCAGCCGTGACCATTATCTACCCTCCCCCAGCCCACCACGCAGTTGCCATCATGGTGCATTGGCAAAGTGTTCGCTTGCCAAGCACAGGGCGGCGGTTCGAACCCCGCTCAAAGCAATTACTTTTGCTTTTTGCACCAAAACACATAATTTTTTGCATAAAAACGTGCTTCGACATCTAAAGCCGTTACGGAACCAGTTTTAACGTTGAAGGTGACGACAACTCACAAAGAACGCAAAAAAAAGAGGATGTTGGCAATTTTTTAGTACAAATGCCTAATAATTTTTTCAATAAAGGTCGGTGGCAGACTTCAAAAGCAGAGTTCAAAGGAACCAGCGAAAAATTCTACACAAGGTAGACTTGGTCCCATTCCAAAATGCCAGCCTGAGTAAAAAGCCTCTACAGTAATCCTAGCTTGGCTCAATTTAAGCTTAGGCTTCGTTTGTATGAAGCTAAGCCTAGGCTTAGGCTTAGCTTACCTTTTCCAGAGGCTTAGAGTTTAAAAACGGCATTTGGAGCGACTTGTAGTCAACATCCGGACTGCCCCCCTTAAGTGCATCAGCACCGGAAAGGTGCGGAAAAAGAAATTATCAATGTGTGAAACAATAGAAAATAATCTTAGAAAAGTAAATAAACATCAAGAGTGAAAAGTGCAGAGGTCAAGCGCTCAAACGAACCCGTAAAAAGCTAGAAAGAACCATGCTGTGACCCTCAATTTGTAAACAATCCGATGAAAAAGCACTGTACGGGCCTAAAGCAAGGTCTAGAGAATTTAATACCAAAGTTAGCAAAATTAGCAACCCGGACCCGATGAATTCCGGAAAAGGCCCGAAATTGCATACAAAACCACGTATAAAAAGAAGGGGGATCCAGAGAAAAGCTACCAATTCTCAAAAACCCAGATGGCCTACCCACCCGCCGACGACAGGGACTCGTACATCCCCCTGGACCCCAAGCCCACCGAGCAGACCGACAACCATCTCTCCGTGAACAAGGAGAGCCTGCCGGAGAACCTCAGCGTTGATGAGATGATTGAAGCCGAGATCGCCGAGAGACGCCGGACTTTCAGGGAGCGAATGTCCAAGGTAGCTTTTTTATTTCGTTCTTTTGCATTTACGGTCTTTTCTTCTTTGGATTCAACAACACGTTTATTTTAGTACGATGCCCCCGCCGGACCGAATATGGCTGAGCTGGAGGCCCGTGTTGCTCGTCTCAAGCTGGATATGGAGAAGAGGGCCGTGTTTGACCAGAAGCTCCTGAAACACGCCGGCGAGGTCATCGCCGAGCATCGCGCCGCCCGTCTCCGCGTGAAGAGCTACAAGGTGTGTAGAATTACTGGCTTTTTTCTAAGAAGCCAATCTTTTAATATATATGAAGGACTTTTTTTTCTACTCTTCCTAAGCTTAGTTTTTGATAACAAATATAAAAATAATCAATAGATAATAAATAAATAAAATCAATTTTCGACCGCTAATTCTCAGGTTTTGGCCAAAAGTTCAACTATATTTTTTTAGTTATTTTATTAAGCACTTTGAAAAATAGGGTTAAATTTTGCTCAAACCTTTTAAAACATTTGCTATTATGTAGCTAAGCACCTCTTTATTCATTTTTTTTTCGGATTTAGAGAAAAAAGTTGGCTTTACCCCGGTAACGCGAATGAACCCTCCTTTTTTAGTCTACCGCGGCCGCCATCCGCGAAGAAGCCGCCAAGATCTTCTTCGGGAACCACGACGACACCCCTCCGACCAAAGAGGGATGAGTGCCGAAGGACCCGAAAAAGCCGTTTAACTCTGCCCATTGCGCTTATTCATTGTATTAGTGTATTCGCTCCCTCGCTGAAGGTACCCCCGCCCCACCCCACCCATTCGTCTATTGTTGTAGATGACCCTCTTTTTCTCTCTTTTTCTGTATGTTAAGGAAAAATACATTCAACGTGTTTTGGCGGTTTGAATGGAAGCTACGGCATAAAGTGGTGGTGCGCCCCAGGGTTCTTGTGGAATTGAATCGGATTCTTGACGTTTCATGTTAAACCACGAGAATCTATAAATCTACATCTAAAGGATTTTTACAGGTTCGAAGGCATTGGCTGCGTGGCAGAGCTTTACCTTCGTTGCCTGAGCCATTAGTAGTATCGAAGTATTCGTATTCTTCGTAGTTCCAAGTATCGTATCCTACATTCGACGACCATAATAAATCGAATCTAGTAACGTTTGCGCTAATTTATATATTTTAAACATAAATACGGGCATCAGGAATTTTGGAACAGGAACAGGGAATTTTGGGAATCGAGACGCCTCTGGTTGCAGCTATTTTTGTTCGCCATAGTTAATAATTTTACCCTTAAAAAGCATTTCTTACAAAAAAAAGCTGATTGCCGTCTAACAGGTGTTCTTAAACTGAGACAATGCAGGTGCCGGAATATTATTTTTAGAACTATTTTGTTTGTAAACAAAAGTGTCAATAAAAATATTATAATAAAATAATTTATGCAAAAGTCATTACTCACAAATTAGTACTTTCGGAAACGGTTTTAGGTTATGAGAGCAATTAAAAATCGATTAAATTTTATGAAAACATTCAAGGTTATTTTCTATTCAAAAGGTTACGAAATGTAAGAATTAAATAAAATATTAGGATGAGTTTACTATTAATAGTCGTTTTTCCTGGTTCATTGCGCTCATTAGCCTCAGGGTCATTTTCCCGGCCAAAAATCGAAAAGTTTGAGACCCATCGGCTGTGGGGGGGTACAGTAAGCTCTCACCCACGCAAGGATCGTGTAATCTTTGTTAAGTGGTAGGGATTGTGCAGAGATCAATGGTCCGCCGCCCAAATGAGGTGCGATGTCCTAGGGCGTCGCCGTGCGGTACATCACACACTGCAAATTGCCAAAACATTTCCGGCCAATCTTTTTTAATTTTGCCATCCCTGGCATCTGGAGGTATGTTGGTACCGTACGTCCCTGCACTCACGTATGTTTATGTGTCGCAAAAGTCTGCGACGCGGAATTTGCGACCTGGTCCCGTCCAGACGCAGCTCGATGAATGGTGCGGTACCGTACCTTTTATATCGCCCGAAGTGCTCAACGGAATACCGACTCTTGGTACATCGGGGGCCTCGATTTATGTAAGGATAACTGGCGATGTTCTCTACGAAGAGCCGACCAGGTTTGAGATACGTTTTCTGTCCGCATTTTTTATTTTTTTAGCAATGACAGTCAGTTCCGTCTATTCGCGGAACAAGGAATATTCCCGCGAGGCAGAATTGGTAAGGATTCGCAAGCTAATAATTGTATAGAATCCGTCTCACACATTTTTTTAATACTTCTATTGCACCGAATGGCTCCGCCGGAGTGTAGATGGTCGTTAGAAGACCTGATGCTATCTGAATGGGTGCGTAGGTTTTATAGACAAATTTTAGATAAAATATGTATAGTAATGATATCCAATTCAAGTATTTTTAGGTGAGCTACACAGCTATACGGCCAGCATCCCAGTTCGTCCAAAATCACCTAACCAATTGTGAGTCTCCCTCGCCTCTCTCTTTCCTCTCTCTCTCTCTCTCTCTCTCTCTCTCTCTCTCTCTCACTCTCACTCTTGCTCTCTCTGGCTCTCTCGCTCTCTCGCTCACGTCCTTTAGTTTTCTCTTTTTCTATGTATCTAAACGACACTCCTTATCTCTCACCAGTTTGTAATTGGACAGTTCGTACTTGTTTTTCTTTTGTACTTTCCATTTAACGGCATTTGACGATATTCAATAAAATTTTTCAGATAAAACAAAGCGCTAATATGAATTACAGCAACCCTTGCTTTTTCGAATTGATTTCGGCCGGGAACAATCAAAACGTTTGCGTTTCAAAACTTGAATATGTCCTTCTATCCATCCCTCCTCCTCCAATCGAGGTACAGCTTCCCATTTCTTCAAATTGCCTTCCTGAAGCTTCCCCGTTGGCCAGGAGCAATCATTCACGTATGCTTCTCCTCGTCTACGATATCCAGGAGCTGGGGGCCCCCTAGCGCTGATCCCGTGGGAATTCGTAGCCCAAAAGACAGAATCGAAACAAAGATTCCCAACCCCCGGCCACAATACCAAAAAAGAACAGCCCAAACACATGGGTGCTCTCGGGGGCCCCTAGCTCCAAATCTGGCCCCCCCAAATTGAAAGGCCAAACCTGGGTGTTTGTGCTTGGGGTTTGGTTGTTCCGTTACATTCCCGGTTTGCGAGACCCCCATCTCGCCATCCTATCGCATTCATATTTTATAGGGTTCCCGTCGGGGGCCTGGCCTTTTTTCGATGCTGAAGCCCTTAGCCATCGGGCCACTCGTTTCATCGGCGGCCCGGGGGCCCGTTCGCTCAAAAAGTTTATTGACCTCGGCCGAAGTTTCAGATTAGGCTGCCGGTTGCGCCGTCATTTTTTCGTGGCAATTCCGCTGGGGGAAAAAGGTTTAGGAGGGTAGTTGGGAGATTAATCCGTTGGTTTATGGGGGTTGGTAGGTCGTAAATGTTTGGTTGTGCTTCCGAAAAATTTTGGTTTCAGTATACCTGGCTTTACATAATGTCTATTTTTTAATGTTTTTAGCGAAATCTAAGTATTAAAACCGAAAAAATTTATTTACAACTTTTTCTATTGGAACCATGAAATTGCCACGATTTTGTTTTTCTCTCTGGTCTTTAGAAAAATCGATTTTAAAATTCCCTGGCTCGAAAACTTAATGCAATTTTGGTAGAAAGCAATTTAGGAGGTTATCAATAAAATTGAAAAATTACAGAATTTTTGAAATTCGGCAAAATAGAATTCGGTCAAATTAAAATTCGCCTTACTTTCCACAACCCCTGTTATCTCTCAAATCTTATTTTCTCCTCCAAAACCCACCGAATTGAGATTGAAAAGAGTGCGGGTTAGGATCCATAGAAAAAAGGGGACTCAGAAAAGAGCGACAAGAGAAAGAACAAATCCGGGGTGTGTAGCGCCCTTCTTCTCTGTTGGTTGGTTTGGGGGGTCGTCAGTTGGCCCCTCGAGCAGACGGCCAAAGGGGGGAGAAGCCCAAATTCAATCGTAGAAAGGCCTCGGCCTCCATCGGGCTCCCCCTCCTCAACGACCAGTTGTTCGTTCTCAAATCGAGGCTCCCTCACTCGGTGTCAACCGCTGAGCGGATCGCTTTTCAAAAACACTAATTTTGTTTACGGGCGTGTGTTACAATATTTTGAGTTTGAATGGGGGATTTGGGCGAACTTTTGAATGTGCGTATCCGCTTCACTGTATTCAGGCTTCTGAGATTCAGATTTTCAACTCTCCATCTCAGATCCGAGTTTTTGCTATAGATTCCGTCTTTATATAGCGCTTTTTTATCGGTAATACGTCTTTTCATTTGTTTAGCGCTTTTCAGCATTTTTAAAGGGGCCAGAAAATGCAAGAAGTGACCCCCTTCCGGTGCTAAGCATCGACACCTACGCTCAAAGCGAGAATACACATGCATTTTGCTTAAACCTAAAAATCCAAAGTTGCTAATAAGCTGGTATTAAGATGTTTTTTGGAATGACGCGTAGCTGTCGATGCCCCCTTGAGAGAAAGAGTCGATTCCAGAATTTTCTGGCTTCTTTAAAATTGTTAGACAGCAATAAAAAAATGAAAATCATTTGAATCGCTCGTTTCTCGTCGTTCCCAGCTTTTAAAAGCGGGCTTACTGGACTTGGAATCATTGTTTAAAATGTTTGTTTTAATTTTCCTTCACCTTCCCTTTAAAAATAAACTTATATGCTCAGAATTTCCGGTCAAAACTCAATATTCCTTGCAAACCCAAGCACAAACCCGTCACAAACTTTTCCTTCCCCTCAAACTACCCCCAGAGCTATCGTATTTCGTTCCCGGTTGCAATACCTTGGGACTGAACCCAAACTCAAAGAAAAACTCAATTTTTCATACCGATAACAAATTTCTCAGGAACCCCTACTCGATCCGTTCAAGTTCCAGTTTGTTTTGCATGTGTCACCTGGAAATGGAAATGCTCGAGTAGGGGATTATATTGGCACTCGAGGGCTCCACTCAAAAGGGGTTATCGGTTGGGCCCTTTACTTTTTGGGATGGGGCCCCTGGATGGGGGGATGGCCGAAAAGGGTGAGAGCTGAAAGGGGGGGAGGCATGGATGGATCTTTATGAAAATAAGAGGCGCCAAGAGCTGTCAGAAAAGAGGTGGGTGTGTGGGGGGAAGTGAAAGGGCCCTGCCCCTCGGCTTCACTAGGGCTCTTGTTCCAATCCAAATTGGGTACAGCTGAAGCAGACGGCCATTTCCGGGGTTTTTTAGGTTTTTATTCAGGGTTTTGAGAGGTGAAACGTGTGAAGTGAGCATGTGGTTTTAGGATGGGATTCCCACAGTGGTTTTTGGTTTCGAGATTCGACTTCTGGCCCTGGGTTTGTAATTACGGGATTACGGGATTACGGGATTTTCGCTAATAAAACGCCGCGGAGATTTTTTTCAACTAGCCTAAAAATTATAGGAGTCGGAGCGTTTACATTTTTTATTGCTAAGCAATTACATCGATTTCGAGCAGTTCAAACTGTTAAAAACTGCCCAGGAACGCGGTTTAAAGCTTCAATTCAAGCGTTTTTCAGCGTTTTAAAATTTTAAACGCAGTTTTGAAAATTTTTTGTTTATTATAGGAAAGATTCGGCCAGTTTCTGGTTACTATGATCATATTACAGTTGGTAATTTCGTATTTAAACCCTAAAACCATTCAAGATCTTTGATCCACCAATATGGAACACATCTCCCCCGCAATGTCTACCGACCCCGACCCTACTTCTTCTTTGGGTTTTTTCGTCGTTCTCGAAGAGCGCTAAGTGTGCCGTTCATCCCGAGGGGACCCATGGGCTCTTGGGCCCTCCGGGGGCCCATCCCTTCCCCCTCGAAGGGCTCGAATGCATAATGTATCAGTGGAGGGCTTCGTCGCCAATTGCCCCAGAATCACTAATCCTTATCCCTAGACTCGCCCCGCGAGCCTACCCTCGCTCGCAAAACTCATTTCTGATAGGAATGGCTTTTTCCTGGAGTTTTAGGGCAAGGAATTTTGTTATTTTAGCTATTGGGCTATGGCAGATCTGTGGAATTTACGCTAAAATCGAAGCTACCTATTAACTTCATGCAGCGATTCATAATTCCTGCTTTTTGAATACATTTATCAGTCTAATTGACTGCTGTTTGTAGCTTTATAGCGGTAATTACAATAGAACATATTCTTATTTTTGAAAACGAAAGCAGTTATTCATTTTTCAAACTACTCTTCAGAACAACGTTTTAAAAATTAAAATTGTTTTTTATTTTAAAACCTTTCGAAAGTTTAGATTTTGTAGGAAAAGTGTAATAAGCTCTGTAAGGTCTTGTATACTCCAATTTAAGTATTAAAAACAAATTTTAGCTACCCCCCCACGTCAATCCCAAAAGTTTTTTAGTGTGGGCGGTAAGTCGCGAGAAACGTTGTGTTCTTAGCAACGGCGCTGAGGGGATTCTATTGTGTTTACTGGGGCCGATGGCGGCGCAAAGCCCTTGCCGATGTGCTCATGCTCGGTTACACGCGGCTTTGTTGGAGGCCGAGCAGTCGGAGCAGGGCAGAATCGGCTGAATTGAGTTGTTTAGGGTTTTTATAATCCAGCCTTTATTTTTTGTCCACACTAATTACAGTAACACGACACAATTTTTTGCCGTTCAACGTTTGAAAAATTTACAGTTTTTCGGAACCGTCTAGTGAACCTAGCTCAGTTTTAAAGGGATTAGCAAGCCAAAATTGCTCAGGTTTTCCTGGTAGAGAAATTCTTATTTTGCATTTCTTATTTCTTATTCACCCCCCGCGTCACGCAACGCGTGAGATTTTTTCATAGTTTCATTCTTTGCGACAAATACTCCAAGCCGTAGTGTGGCGTGCGCGTTGCGTGTTGCGGCTCAGCAATAGACGATGCCTGTCCTTCCCTTTAAAGGACCATTCAAGGAACCCCAAACCCTTTTTTTCTCACATCTCCATCTCCTCCTCCCCCTAGTTCAATCGCCTTCTCCATGCTCCCCCTCCCTAAATCCCCCTCTTTTTCTTGGCTGGACAAATTGCCGGCGAATCGCCCTCTCCTTCCCCTCTAGCTCGCCCCCCAACCGCAATTCCGCCCCCATCCGCTGGACGTTCGCTTTTTTCTGCGATTCGGGTTAATCTTTTGAACGGTTTGATGGATGACGTGTGGAGAGGGAAAAAATGGGGGACTTCTCTTAGAAAACAGGATTAGATTTGTCTGGTGTTTCATAGCTAGTTATTTAGGTTTATGCTAATATCTGTTGTTTATAATTCCGGATTTTTGCAATATCAATTGGCATATACATTTTTTTTTCAAACGTTTTTATGGTGCGATGTTCATAAATAAAATAATTGATGAAAATCTTGCCAAAAAAATCTAATTTAATTTTTGCTTGCTTCTTGTACGAAATTCAAGTTTTTGTTATGCCAAGTTTTCACTTTTCATGGTAGGTAGTGCGGATTTTTATTTTTTGATCTTTGGAATTACGCAAGGCTTTTCTGTTTTGTGAAAATCCTAATTTACGTATGAAAAATGCAAAAAATTTTGCAACTCGAAGAAAATTATAAACTTGTTTTGTGTGAAAAGAGTGTTTTGAAACAGTGGTCATACTGTAAATCCTCCAATCCTAGCCTTATTAATCCTTCCCCTAATTTCCCGATCCCCCGAGATACAATTTGTTGTTGACGAGCAGAGGGTAAGAGGTGGAGTGGGTCTTTTACTCCCCGTTTGGTGTGGGCCCTGCCAAGATTGTTCCTATGGAAACTCGGGCGGGTGCTCGTTTTTTGGTGTTAATTGTAAAATGATGGTGTTTCCCCCGCCACACCCCGCCAGTCACAGAGACACCCGCGATTCTGGGGTGACGTTAGTTTTTCTGGGGCGACAGAAGCCCGCGCCGGAAACCTGATTTTCTTTGAATCCCACGGGAATTCAATAGACACCTTTGACGGTTGGGGTGTTCGTTATTGGTAGATCTCTGACTTCGAGAGTTTTGGTTCTGTTAGATTACGGTAAATCGGTCGTAAATTTGGATCAATCAGATAAATCGTCTCCCAGCGCTTTGACTCTCTCCCCCTTTCTCTCTCTCTCTCTCTCTCTCTCTCTCTCTCTCTCTCTCTCTCTCTCTCTTTTTTTCTATCTCTCTCTTTTTTCTCTCTCTTACTCGCTCTCTCACTCTTTCTCAGTCTCACTCTTTCTCAGTCTCTCTCTCTCCTTTTCTCTCTCTCTCTCTCTCTCTCTCTCTCTCTCTCTCTCTCTCTTTCTCTCTCTATCTCTCTTTTTCTCACGCGCTCTCTCACTCTTTCTCAGTCGCTCTCTCCGTCTCTCTCTCCTTCTAATGAATTTATCTATAACTTATCTTTGTTTTTCTATCTTCTTAAGTTTGTATTTTTTAGGATAGTTCCGGTTTCTCGGATGTAGAATAATTCTCAACATGCTCTGGTGGACCTTCGTCGTGTGGCTGGGCCAAGTTGTCGCAGCAGAACGACCCCAAATCGGCCATTACCCCATTAATGGTAAGTTCTTCCCTTCAATTCTCCTTTAATCCACCCCTGCTCTTTCAGGAAACGTCTGGCGAGCAAAGGACATCTCCGAAATCCGCCAGCCATTGAGTGTAGCCTTCCGGAATTTCTCCCAAAACTGCACGACCCTCAAGTCGAACGCGACAAATATTATTTACTATGTATCCGAGCCGGAGAATACCTATCAACATATTGAGGTGAGTTTTTGGGCATTGGGAATTTTACAAAAAGTTACTCGGTTTTCAATAGATTACTTTATTTTGGAAACCATTGCCACAAGATACAACCTTTTATTCTGTTCGCGATTCTGTCTATTTACCAAATTTCTATGCCAATTTTTGAGCTTTTGTAATTCTGTGCTCCAAACGTAAACTTTGGAAGCGCCCCGAAAAACTATAATTACCCCCGCCGGGTGCAGAGTGCCAATTTTGCAGACCGACAACTCAATATGCGTCTATTCGGTGGAGCGAAATATGCCGAATGCGCGAAATTACTACAGCCAAGACGTGCTCCAGGACGTCCATTTCGAGCTGTTTGACACGTCGATAGTGGTACGAGGGCTTTGATACTTGTTGGGCCACGTTTTTCTGAGGTTGGGTCTAGGAATGGGGCAGGTGTTAATTTAAAAATGATTTGGGGTGTAGGCCAAGGAATGTTTGTGTCTTTTTTGTGGGGTAACTGCAAGCTAGAATGAAGGTTCGAAGTAACGGCAACACTTTAAAAATTGAAATAGACAAAAAATGACGAATTTATGAGGCTTATTTTGGGGGATTTTATGCAAAGTTTTGTCCTTTTAAAAGACCAGTAAAGGCAAAAAATCAACGACTTCCTACGACTAGATCTTGACAGCTACGTGGCACGCCAAAATACATGACTTCCGCTTGAGTCCTTGTTTTTCAGATTAAAAAGAATTAAAAACAACTCTTCGAACTTTTAATTTCAGATTTTATAAAAAATCTAACTGCAGAATTTTTGTCTAGACCTGGTTTGTCCGACGAGTTGATTTTTCGCTTCCAAGCTCCTTTAAAAAACGTTTTCGATCTTTTTTTGTAACGTCACCGTTGTCTACCCACCCGCAAATGTCTCCAAATGTCCTTTGGCGGTCTACGAGCCGCAGATGTGTGCTAATTGGAGAAAAACGAGGGGCCTTCAGGGTCTCGACAAGCGCTTGAAGACGCAAAAACATGGCCGACAACACGGGGCAATTGGACCCTTATTAAGGGCTGCCGTAGGGGGCAGGCTCGTTTGCGGGCGGCTTCTCGAATGGGCTGCGGGTTTTTGGCAACTTTTTGGGGCTGTATTCTGTGGATGAATGGTGGTGCCTGCCTTTAGTGGTCCTTTAGGAGCAGGGTAAAATTTTTAGGGGCAAGAACCGCTGAAATTTAAAGGAATAAGATTTAGAATGTTAAAAACGATCGCGAAGTTCAAGGGGGTACTTTGAAAGTTTTGATCTCTCTCCTTTCTGTCTCTCTCTCTCTCTCTCTCTCTCTCTCTCTCTCTCTCTTTCTCTCCTCTCTCCCATCTTTTTACATTTTCTCCGCGTCCATTCCACGAAAAGTTGCCTTCCCACTCAAAACCCAAGACCGAAAATCCCCCAATCCCTTTTAATGACCGCGCGAAGACCCCAGACCATTTTTCAGAATTACACATTCTACTTCGCGTGCGACGAGTACTGCTGCGGACTCGAGTGCTGCCAGCGGGACGTCGGCATGACGATTGTGTAGGTTTTAATACGATAAATGATCATAAAGTCTGAATATTACAAAGTTTCGTACTTTAGATTACAAAACGCATAATTTGAAAAGTTGAATTTTCTACAAATTTTGATTTATCCGATTCAGCGGCTTCACGTTAATCTCGGTGTCGGCAATTATAATCCTATTCTATGGGGCCGTGTACTGTGGCGGAATGTTGTGCGCCTGGCGGAATGGAGCGCTCGGCAAGAAATTACAGGTATAGAATAGCATAAACAAATTTTGGCGTTCCATGCTAATTTTTCGAATAAGCTCTACATACTAATTTTTAGTTTAATGGCAAAAGCCCCGAAAAAAAGAAGAAAAAACTTGAAGAAACGTCGATGAGCGTTTTACGGCCCTCCGAATCGATGGATACCAATGGGGGACCCTCATAATATTTTTAAAACTATTTGAAAAATTAATATCTTGCGACGTTTTGATTTTTATGGTATTTTTCTGCTCGAATTTCTATTAATTTTATTTCTTTTAAATCGAATCATTGATGCAATGCCAGCGGTCACTACGCGATACGGGAGCTTTCACTAAGAATTTTATCTGTTTTATCCTTGTGCTCTAATTTCTTTGACGATGTCCCTTTTGCTTGTCAGCCCCCGCTTGCCGAGTAAAATTTGCATAAAAATACCGACAAACCATGTAATGAGATTAAAGACGTTTATAAAAAGGATTCTGGAAAACACCCAAAATGCACCGAAACATTGGGGGAATGGAAACACACGGTTTTAAAGGGACCAGCAACCCGTATCAAATGGGGGGTGGAAAGAAATCACATGTGATAATGACGTAATAAATGAAAGCCTTTTTGTTGTTTTTTTTTGTTTTATTGGAGATTCAGGTCCGATAATCTAAATAAAGCCTAGGTGTGGGAAAACGAATTTCAGATTTTATAGTTTGTAGCTAGACGGACTAAGGTGAAAAGTTCGAAAATACTATGGAAATTAGCTGCTCGATAATGTTGCTTATCGCTGTCGGATAATGGTCTCGAGCTGTTGCTTCTTTGCCGGATCGAGCCCACCGCCAACTGCATCCAGAAGCCCTCGCTCACCCATCAATTTGGCCAGGGAACGGGCGAAGTCATGGGCAGCCTAAATTTGAACATTAAATTAATAAATATAATATTAATAGCGTATTCTAAGCACTTTTCAATACCTTCTTATTCTCAGCATCAGCCGGTGGTGTCCGAATCGTGTCAATAAGAATCGGCAGCGCCTGGATCTCGACCTGTTTGGGCTTCGTACGGTAGAGCGTGTCGTTGAGCGCTAAAATAAAATACGGATCAATATTTAATTTTAAGGAAGCGTTGAATTTAGCGCTTTTAAAGTAGCCTACTTGAAAAGACGTGAAGCATAAATGGCCGTTGTTTAACGTTAGCTTTCCGAGCGGCGGCTGCGACGGCTGGGGATAAAGCGCTTCCGTCTAAAAAAAAAATGGTTCAAAGTGTTGTTCTAAAACACACGATAATAATTTAACACCTCTAATTTCCACTTACCAATTAACCGAACAGTTTCCGATAAACATTTTTGTGCCAGTTGTCGATGTTCATCGCTTTTTGAAGGTAAATGCGAAGATAGGGCAAGCAAAAGCTGATTCAACACAGCTTTCAGTCCCGCTTCTCCGGAATAAAGTCTGAAAGAAACGTTTCTACAAAATTTGGGTCAACTCACTTTGCCATACTAGGCAGCGTAGCCAGATACGTATCCATCGCCTCAAGCGATACCTTTCCATTGATATCGGAAAGCCGTCCGATAAATGCTTCCATTAACTATAACTATTTTTGGTAAATCTTTTTAATATACCTTCGTATCCCCTGCCACTGCTTTTCCAATACTTCTGGCCAGGTCTTCGAACTTCCGGAGGCCAGTCAACCTATTCTCCCAGCCCGCCGCTGTCAGGTCCTTGCGGCACTCATCAAGATCGAGCTGGATGTTGTCCGGGAGTTTCCTCTGTACGGCGGCGCTCTAGACGGTATTCTAGATAAAGGCGTCAATTTGGAATGTACTTTTTTGAAGGAGCCGCTTCGAGATAAGCTTCCGGCAAGGCTTGTGCTTGTTGAATCAAGGCAGTCGGCACCTCCCTGGAAATAGATAAATATGAAAATTAGACATTCGTTTTTAGCGCTGCTATTTTTAAAGGCAATTGCTGCGAAATCGTTCAATTATAAGGCTCACCTTCTTTTGGATATGGGTCAAAATATCCTTGACGCTACGACAATCCGCTTCCAAGCAACCTCTCCTGAGCTTCTCCTCAAACCCTGGTTGCTGGCTGAGTTGGAATAAGGTAGTTTTCGCTGGCTGCCGCACGTTTGGCGTTTGGTCCTTGGCCAAGTTGACGATTAATGGAATGAGTTTCCCCATGATTTCCTGTAAACAAAAAAATATACAGTATCATTTGATGACCTACCGGGCTGTTTAACGCATTTGCATAGCCGACACGTTGCATGAGTTGAGATAAAAATTGCCCACAAGAAGCCCGAATGGTCACGTGTTTCGATCTGGAATAAAAAATAGGGACTACTAATTTGAAGGTATAGATAAAATTAATGTTTTTAATTTTTATTTGGACGTACTTTGCAGCTTGGCTGAGCACCAGCAATACTTTCATTGGAGACCCATAGGTAACCATCTTTTCTAATGCCTCATTTGCATCATCACGGATGAAGGCGTTGGAAACATCTCCGGATTTATTCATAAGCACCGCACCGATCTAGAAATCACATTGAAAGTTCTGTTTTTTCTTACCTTCTCAATCTCTGAGTCCATTTTTCCTTTTAAATGTGCAAAGAGGGTCGAGAAGGTCGCGATGGCTACGCGGGAAACGGACGAACGCAAGTTTTTACATTCTTCAAGCAGTGCGACGCAAATCTGAGAGGGTTTGAATTTTAATTACGTTCTTTAGCGCCTACCTCATGTATATGCCCACCAACTTGTCCTGGGTTTGATGTGCTTAAATCGCAGATCTGGTTGATGCCGTCAATTTTGTCTTGCCTAAAATGTCTGTGTTTTACAAATAGGCGTTATAATTTTTACCATTCTTCATGGCTCATCAATTTCAAGGCACCAGCTACACCACCGGTGGCCACAGACTGCGGTGACTTTGAGTTTATTGCAGCGGCAGTTTGGCTGAGAGGCGTTGGCTTCAAAAATTGTGTAGAAATTTTCGCAAAAAATTTGCATACCTTTACCCGATTGCCAGTGCCCGAGCGAAGGAAGGTGTGCTTTTTGGACTAAAAAAAATTAATAATAATTTTACAAAATAATTTTTCCAATGTTGAAAGTAAAAATAAAAGAAAAAAATCAATGATCGTTACGAATAACCATACCCGTTGCGCATTTGTAGCCGCCGGCAAGCTGTGCTGACTTGTGCTCTTCTTTACCAATCCACTGGATAGCGGCTGGCTCGGTGGGTATTCTAAAATGACATTAAATTCACATCCATCTAAAGCTTTTTATTTATAAAATTCTACACATATTCCAGTTTTAACAAAAATTCTGAACACCATTAGATTTACCATAGAAATTGATTTACCATAATCTCGCCATCGATTTCTGGTTGAAGTCGGCCTATAGGAATCCGGGCTCTCTAATAACCTTCTGGACTCTAATCGACTAGATAGGCTGGGATACCCAGTAGGTGGGCGGGAATATCGAGAAGCTCTAGATTCAGACTCCTTTGCCCTGAAGCTCGACCGAGCGCTCTGAGTCGCAGTTGGAGTACGATATCCGGTGAAATGGGCATGGTAGCTCGGACTCCCGGGGTCTATTGAGCTCTCGAAGCTTTCGGATTCAGTTTGGCTAAAGCTACGACGCCGCGTCCCAGCGCTGCGTTGGCCATAGGACTGTGTAGAGCTTGTGGAAGGGCCGGATGAAAAATAATCCCTTTCTGGCGTCTGAGGTAATGTCAGAATCTGAGTACCCCGTTTTTCAGTAATTTTGGAGGTTCTATAGCTATTCGGTCGAGCGGAATACTGATTAGCATAGGTATCGAGCTTTCGGCTGTCAAAGTATGATTTCGAATGGATGGGCGGGAGGCTGAAGCGGGAGTTCGCTTCGAATTCGCTGTGATTATAGCTGCTAGAAGGAGGGCTCCAAAGGAATTGACGTGGGTTGTAAACATCTGGGGATAATTGATTGTAGAGATGGGGTAGCATTGGATTTTAACGCGTTCAAAATAACGAGAGTCTTTCGAGAGGGTGTCAGTTGACCAGAAAAACCCACGCATGGCAACGAAACAATAGAGGGAGAGGGGCTGCGCATATTTTAGGAGGTGGCCAGTTTAGAATGGTCGGGGGCCTAGAGATGTATTTGGCTAAAGATGGGAGAGGTTGAAAGGCGTGCAAAACCGGAAGAATGGGACACATTAACATTGCGTTCCGTTTGGTGAGGCTGTCGCAAAAAAACGCTGGTTTACGAAAATTTAAAGAATTTTTCTATATTTGCAAACTAACCTTTTTACGTTCATATTTTCAACTTTTAGCTTAGCATTAAAGTTTTTATTCCAATTTTATTTTACTGAATCTTACCGTCAGCATATACTGGATTTTTTGCGGGTCGTATCGGCGCGTCATCCATATTGTAGGGCTGTCGATTTTCGCGGTCTTCGAACAACTAAAAATTTAAATAAATTTTCATATAACATTATTCATAAACCAGCGCCCAAAACCCGCTTCGCGGGCCTTGCGCGCTGGAATTGGGCCTTTGCATGAAAAATTTGACTTTCCGATAGCTCGGGTCCTTCGGACTCCTTCCCCTACCGACCACACACGCGCGGGCAAATTGCAAGAATGAGGAAATTTGTATTTTTTTCATATTATGCAAATTACCTCGAAAAATGAATAAAACCGGCTTTAACTTTGTAAACTTGTATTTTATCGAAATTCTGAAAACGCCATCGGAAAGAGGAGGGTCGATTCCCCCGAGTGATAAAGAATCAGCGCACTTTATCCAGGGGAAGGCCCTCAAATCGGGCCTCGAAAGTGACATCCACACACACACAGAGATACACTCCAAAACTATATAAGGTAGGAGGATAAATGTATTACGGTATATAGTTTTAAAATAATTACCAATTGTGTCTCGCTCTTGGCCCGCCCCATCGCGGCCAAATCGAGCGCTGGTTGAGGGGCGGCCGGTTTTTTTGCTACTCGAGGCTTCGCAGCTGCCTGAATTTTCAACAATTAGATTTGTTAAAAATTTGGACCCATTTTAAATACGTGGAAAAAGTATAGCTACTTTCTACATAAATAGTGAAATCCAACTTTTTGGGGCGCTGCCGTGGTGGCTACTGTAGCAGGGCCAGTCCCATTTTTCTCGAGATGGTTGTTATTCAGCTCGGATCGCTTTTGGAGCGCATGAAAACGGATGCGATCGAGCGAGGTATCAAGCTAAATGCCAGGTTTTAGTCGGGTAAAATTTGGCGAAATTTTTAATAGATTTCGGGTAAATCTCACCTCATTCTTCGGGTTTCCATTCAATCGATTGACAGCTGAAGTTGCTGAAATACAATCGTAGGTCAGAATTGAAAATTGAAATTTACATCTTTCTGCGGCTACCGAATTATTACGCTTCGGGCCCGGTGAATGCCATGAATTTGTACTCTCGCCCGGGTGGATAGCTGAAATAAGGTATAATTATGATATTTTGTTTCTAGATATATTAATGGCCACTAAGTTTGTTTTATTTAATCTTGATAGTAATCTGACGTGGGAGACTCGACGCTTTTGTGGCGGGGCGGTAGTTCTTTTTCGACGAGCTACGCTTTTTCTTGAAATCGACTGATGGCTGGAAGTTGACGGATGTGGCGTAGATCTTTGGCAACACCAACACTTCGGCCATCCGATGACGGCTTTAAGAAGGGATACGGTACGTTGGGTACAACATAGACACGAGAGAAACATGCGGAGAAGAGCAGATACCTGAGTTAACACTTATCCTTACGTAAAAATCAATTAACATTTTTTTTGATAGATTTCAGGGCTGTATTAACGATCGAGTTACTCTTTAGCATTGCTTATGCTTGATTTTCCTATTTCCAAACACCTCAGATTTCGAAAAACATCTGCTCTACGTAACATTGTGCAAACAGTTCATTACAAAACATTTTAAATATTGAACCCAACAAAATTCAATCTTAATAGATTTCCTAGATCAATCGAAAGAAACTCCATTCAATTCCATTCCGATACCCTTTCCACTCCCTCTAACGGGATATTAGCGGAAACGCATTTGAACGCGGCAAAAAAAGTAGATTATTCCCCGGCACGCCAATGCCATTTCCCATGCAAAAAAAAATGGGGAGCTGCTCAAGAAAATTTGAATTTGAGGAGTAACATGGTCAAATGTTTGTTGGGTGGAAGGGAGTAGGGAGGGGGAAGGCTTTAGGGGTGGCCAGGTTTCGTTAGAAACGTCTTTTTTCCCATTTTCGGGTCGCCTAGATATCGGCGACAACGAGACGCGCCGGCCGATTCCCGGCGGGTCCCTTGTGACTAATTTTTGGGCCATTTTTTCGGGGTGGTTTTGATGGTCGCGGAGTGCGTAATACATAAAAATGAAGCTAGAGTTTAGCTGATTTGAGATAATGCATGAAATGTATTGAATTTTTAAGAAATTTGCGGGGATTTTGGGCTTAGAGGCATGGGCAAAGCCGAAAAATTATTTAGAAATTTCGTAGGAGTTAAGTGTACTTTAATCAGCTTGATATTTTAGACATCTTAGATTTAGATTCCCATAGATTCCTTTAAAATCCGAAAAATGACAGGCCGTAAAGACGTGAGACTACTAATGCCGGTGGGAAAGGACAGTAGTGGGTGCCCGGGGAATGCGGCCAAGGGCCCTCCGTCCGGAATGTTGCTAGAAAATTCTAAACCCCTATGCAAAAGGTGGAATGGGTGCTGCGGTGCTCAAAAACCATCGATCAGGGCCGGGGCTAGGGGCGAGAAGGTGGTGTCGATGGTTTTTGAACCTAGCAACGGTGGTCGCAGGTTTTTGCACGCCTCGAGAATGGTATTTTTGTAGTTTACTGTTTAATGGGCATTCCAACCTTTCAATCGATAAAAATTAAGGTTGACAGGACGAAATACTATTGAACCTTTACAGAAGCTTTTGGAAGTTCTCAAGTAATGGGCGGCTAAATTGGTGGGGTTTTTTTTGTGTTGTTCAAGGCCTGTAATTACTTTGGTTTTAATGTTTCTACGCTCGGAGTCTTAGTTTGCTTCTTAATAGCTTTAATAATATTTCTAAGATCTGGAAAAGGCTAGAAGACCTAAGGAAACTTATTTATAGCAAAATAAAAAGCTTGAACTGCTATAAGAAATTGGAATCTTTGAAATTCCCGAATTGAAAAAAATATCCGAAAAATACGTTTTGAATACTGGTTTATCTCTAGAGTTTACCTTTAATAAAACCTTTGGTAAATTTTCCAGCCGACTGTTTATACAAATAATTTACAGCTTTTCGCTAACTGTTAATGTTAATCAACTTGAAAATCTATAATTTTTATTAGAATTCGACCTATTTTAAACACCACCATTTAATTTTGAATTTTTTTTCCTGGCCTGCGCCTGGCTAGTTTCCAATTTTGCTATAGCCATTCAGAAAAAAAACGTTTCTGGGCCTCGAGTGTGGCACGAGACCCGCAGTGGGGTGGATCCTAGCAACAATTCCTACACATCCCGCATACTAAAGCAGTCCCCCGTGGCTAGCTGTACACATACATGGTTACCACACTCTATTTTTGACCATTCCGTAATAAGAACGACTGGACGAAGGGAAAACAAAAACTATAGCTTAAGATTTTAGTATAATGTCGTAGTTGCTAAGAGATCGGGGTAGCAAGAAAGCAGGTGCAAAATTGGTTTGCAGCGGGGGAAATTGAATTGAGAATTTGGTTCACTGGGGTTTGGGCTTTGGAGGATCTGAAGTTCAGAAATTTATAACGCAATGGTGAAAAAGCAGATTTTTCAATTTAAAAATTCAAAAATCGGGCTTAATCCTTCCATTTTCGATAGTGGCTTTTATTAAATTTTTGCCTCGTTTATTGAGAATTCTAACGCAAAACCTGCAGTTTTGAAGTATGATTGAATTCCTTAATCACGCGTAAATCAGGGGAAAGTCAGATTTTAGGTTTCAAGCGATCATAGTTTATATTTTTGTGTAATTTAGTATGACAAACTAAATTTTTTAATTATATACACTGCGTATTTTTTGCCCGATTTCGTAACCACCCCAATTAGGATGGCTGGGGCGCCGGGTGGGGAATAGCGTTTGGGCTAGATTCCCCGTGGCCACCCACTACGTTCTCTCGGGTGGCCCCCGACATGTAGGTCAAAATGCGGTAGAGAATCGCGAACAATCCTTTTTGCGAGACCCATGTTAACAAGGTCGGCTAGATACTTCAGTAATAATACTACGAAAATTGGAACTACTCGGAAAAAAGGAATTACAGCTTGATCAGAAAGCTATCGAATATCTCGTAGGACACTGGATAAGTGTGCTATTTTTTATGAATTAGGTATCAATCGAACGTTCACGACAAACGGAAAGGATATGTTTGCTCTATGTATCGAAATTCTACTAGTTTTTGTGAGATTGATTAAATTGTTTGCAAAGTAGATACGGATGCTAACAACAATACAACACAAAAAAATAAAGAATTCCAATTTCCAAATTCCCAGAGCTCATGGATTTGATCATTTTTAAAGGTAAAGTGACAACAAAATCCACTATTGATCCAATGACACCACAAAGCGCAAGATGAACTCGTTCTATACAAAACTCACAAGCCCGTTTACGCGACAGAAACGACGACTGTTCGGCGGAAGCGGTGCGAACGACTTGAGGCTGTCGTGTTGGTGTTCTTCTGGATGTTGTGGCCGATGAGACGCGGCTTGCCGCGGAACCCATCTCTGCTTTTTCGTCGCGGCTTTCTACACAAACTGATCAATCGGAATACGGCAATTAAAATAGGAAACAGGCCAAAAACGTTAAGGATTGGGTGGTGAATCGGACGTTAAATTGACTTTTATGATAATTAGGAAGGCATAGTAAAGTGAGCTTACATCATTAATGTTAAGCTAGACACTTTTCAGAAATTTATAGCCACATTTTCGCCAATTAAAACACCGCAAAGCGACGGGATATGAGCTTCCGGTATACGGTACTCCTCATTCGAAACAAAGTGGCTCTATGAAAATAAATCCTAGCTATCCTAAGGCGCCAAAAGCCCCAGGCCATGGTCGCTTTATTTTTGTGTGTATGTCCTTCCGGTTGTCAGCGCGAAAAACGGGGGCGCGGCCCCGCAGGTGCAAATTGGGCCCGGCTCCCAGGGACCCTGGGAAGGAAAAGAGACATAGAGATAGTAAGAATGAAGAGGGACAGCAATATAAATCACCGGAAGCCCGTGCCGCCAGTCGCTAGATCGAGTCTGTCCCTTTTCCTCAAAAAGCGCATTCCCGGTTGCCTAGCGAGCCCTCGAATGACCACAATGCCAAAAACTATGCTTTGGAAGGCAGCTGGTGTCCAGTCCGGGGAAAACATACGAAAAATGGTCTTGGCAGGGTGTTGGCAGCTTTATTTTGGCTTGGTTAGGCTTAGTCTTAAATTCAGGCTTAGAGTTAAGCTCACATTTAAACTTAGGCTCATGCGTAGGCTTAGGTTTAGCTTAGGCTTATCTTCGGCTTCGCTTAGGCTTAGCTTGAACCTAGCTTAGGCTTGGCTGAGTCTTGGCTTAGGCTGGATTTGGTCTTGGCTTAGGCCTGACTTACGCTTAGGCTTGGTTTTGCTTGGCTTAGGCTTAGCTTAAACCCAGCTTAGGTTTAGATTAGGTTTGATGAGTTTGGCTTATGCTTGCCTTCGGTTTGGCTTTGGCTTGGCTTAGGCTTTTTCTAAGATTGGATTAGGCTTGAATTTGGTATTGCTCAGCTTAGCTTAGAATTAGATCAAGCTTAGATCGGCCAAAAGACCTCTAAAATTGTTTTTCGCCAAATTCGAAAGCTTTGATTTACACATGCTGTTTTTCAATAAAAAAACGCTCTTTATCGCCATGCTTTGTAAAGCATGAGACTGGTCGGAAAGGGTTATCCATCTTTTCTCTTTACTTCCGTTCCGTTCTAGCTATTGTATATTTTTTGAAACAAATTATTCCACAGTTTTCCTAGAATCACATAAAAATTTTTCGAAATAACATTTAAACTTACTCATCTTCCCAATTGGTTCGAGTCTCATTTTCGGAAGGAACAACATCTTAGAAAATATTTAGTTACGAATCTCTGGAATTTGAATGGCAGTTCAGAGCTCGGGAGCGAATACTGGAGGGCCAAGAAAATTGTCTGACCCGCCAGGGGCCAACCCCCCAAAATACGAAAGCTACTGACCGGAAATATACTAGGGCCACTAGTCCCTCAAAGACTACCCGCCAGCAATTTGCGAAAAATAAATGCTGCAAAAAGATGTAAAGTGGGGGTTGTTGTCTGGTTGTTTCTGGGGCTTGTTGCCCACCCACGGCTTTACTAAAAATAGGTCGACGAGGAAAACTGGGGAGTAGTATTGGTGTGGGTGTGTGCTAATTACAGGTGTGGCTCGCTATTTCCGAACCAGGCTCGGCACCAGCCAGGCAAACGCGAAATAATTGGCTTAGTGTATGGGGCGAGTCAAGCACCGGGGGCCATCGTCATGAGGGCATAGGAAAAGCTCATTAGACGGCGTCATTATTTGTACAGTGTACTGTAGTTTTGCAAAACTTGGAAAATGATTTAGAAGACGAAAGTACGGAATTTAGAAACAAAGGTCAAAGCATCAAACACAAACCAAAGCTAAGGAGTATTTAGCAATATAAAATTACAATTTATAATTTTGTCGTAAAAGGGGCAATTAACATTACGCAGAAATTTCGGTACGCAGAAATCCATTAGACAGAAAACCGTTATACCGAAAACCCATTACGCAGAAAACCATTACACAGAAAATCCATTACGCAGAAATCCATTAACCCGAAATCCATTAGACCGAAATTTCATTATACCGAAATCCCATTACGCAGAAAATCACTACGCAGAAAAACTATTACGCAGAAATTCATTATATAGAAAAAATATTTCGCAGAAATTTGTTGCCCCAACCGTTCCACTCCCATAAGATTCTATATACAAAAAAAAGTTGTATCCGCGGTCGTTGAGGTTGTTTTCATCATTGACTCGCGGACTTTACCCAGTAAGATAGTCTTATCGGTTCGAAAATTTTGCGAGGTTCCCGATACTCACCCTCCTCTCTATGCTTCTTGGAACAAATTTTGAAGACTTTCTCCGAACCCTGTTTGCTAACTTTCCCGGATTTTATCCACCAAATTTTCTGCGTTGTTGTGTGTCAACAACTCGGAAATGCGTTGTCAACAACTCGGAAATTTCCAGCACTGAGAATTTTTCCTTGTACGGAAATTTAGGTGTAATGGTCTTCTGCGTAATGAATTTTCTAGGTAATGTATTTCTGCCTACTGGTTTTTCTGTATAATGGTTTTCTGCGTAACGGATTTCTGCGTATTGAAATTTCTGTGTATTGAAATTTCGACATAATGGGTTTCTACGTAATGGTTTTCTGCATAATGTATTTTCGGCATAATGGATTTCTGCGTAATGGTTTTCTGCATAATCAATTTTCGGTATAACGTTAGTAAATCTCGTAAAAGTAACGGCTAGAAAAACGTTAAAAAATAAATAAAAACCTAAAATATGTATAGAAATGAGCTGTTAACTCCGCATTTTCGTTCAAAAGCAATAAAGCATCTAACTAAAACAGGAACTGAATTTCAAATTTTCAGTATATCAAAATAATACATATTAAGTTTAAAATAAAATATGTCGGCTTGATGATGCTCTATCAATGTTATGCCATTAAACTACTAAAAAGGTTATTTTAGAAGAAAATGCACAGTGCGGGAGCTTCTACAATGGCATGCTTCTGAAAATCCCAGCCGACTACATTCCACAACAAATAACACTAACAACACGACGATACTCAGTGTAATAGAAATTAGAACTGATCGACAACGCGATTCATCAAAAACTACACAATATGTCACGAATACAGGGTGTCCCAAAAAACACGACCCATCTGGCATTTCGCCGTGTTACATCCAATCGGCCCCAAATTTGGAGCAGAGGTGTATCAGACCCTAAATAACAACAATCCTAATTTTTAGCCCCGTAGCTACGGTCGTCCTCGAGTTATAACGGAAATACTGTTTTTCCCGGAATTCTCAGCAGTTTTTTCCGGCTCTTTTTGGACTTTGCATCGATTTGCATCGACTTCCGGCTGTGAATCCCTAATTTCGCTTAAGATCTTGGGCCTTTTTGCGTTGTAAAAATCGATTAAATCAAAGCTTATTTAATTAATTTTACCCTGGAAAAAATTTCTTAAGGTCAAGAAGGCCTACCGGATCATTTTCACTTAATGTTTAGGGGCTCTAATTCCACGAAAACCCTATGAAAAATGGAAAATAAAGTTTGTTTTCGCTATAACTCGAGAACTACTATAGCTACAGGGCTATAAGTCAGGATTGTTGTTATTTAGGGTTTGATACACCTCTGGTCCAAATTTGGGGCCGATTGGATGTAACACGGCGAAATGCCAGATGGGTCGTTTTTTTTGGGACACCCTGTATAGACAATTAGATGCTAATCATAGCAGGATTTTTTTATTTATTTGACCCATTTTACCCAGTAAACCGACCTTCCTTACTCCCCGGCCTTCGTACAATTTGATCATCGCTCAGCATCCGCTCAACCGGTGCAGGCTGGGCGACGATTATAGGCTTTGGCGGCTAAATTTATATTTTATTTATACATTGACACCTTCTAAGCAGCAACGCCAGTTCCTCAAAAATAACTGTTAAAGGGATACCCAAGGTTTTGGCGGCAAATATATAGTTATGCATTCCGGGCAGTACAACTGACGCGCAAATTCCGCGCGGCAACGGGGGACCCATTGCCGCACAAAATTCGTTCCCTTTCCCAATTGTGGCGTCCCCATCCCACCCAATGGCTTGCCACTATGGCCTAATGGATAGCATCGAGGCCTACAAAACGGGGCTCCCGGGCTCGACGCCCGCCCGCGGCATGGTTTTTGCTTTTTGAGCCCCCGGAAAGGTTCCCTTTAATGTTACCGTTCCGGTGGCGGGGCTGGGCTCTTCCCAAGGCATTGGACTTCTCGTTTTTGAGGTCTTTGGTCGTCGTGTCTGTAGCCTCAAATCTAGCACCGATATTGGGGACGGGCCTCTGGAATTTTAGCGTGTTTTAGGCTTTTTAAAGTTTTGCTTACCTTTCGCCTGACTCGCCACTATTTGCATGTAAGATCCAGAAAAGATCGGCATTTTCGCTGTCCTTCATTTGGCTAAAAATAGAAATTATTTGATTACGCGTTCGAATAAACTCAATTAATGATGATGAGTGTAATATGGCATTTAATAATGTTCAATAGATACCTCGGATCCACATCAAATGCACTATCGGTGATAGGAGGTGTCGAGTACTCCAGCAACCCGTCAGAACGAATTCGGGGTAGAATATGACGGCTTAGGCGAGCCTAAAAATACTTACCATTGCTTACCACTTTTACGTTCGTTAATTTGCATACCATAACTGCATTTGTCAGCCCGACCAACGCTTGTGATTCTTCCATCTGTTTTACAGCACGCATTAGTGGATCAATTTTTCCCTCCATCAGATAGGCTACTACTGAGAGATGCTCGAAGGCGGCAAGTCTAAAAAATTAATTATTTAATTTGCTTTATTATCTTATCTTATTTATTAATTAATGGTCAAGTGAACCCACCGTACTCTTCGTTTAGGGTCAACCAACATTGGGACCAACATATTTGATACGGCCTTGAAATTGATCCGGCCAGGGTTGGCGTTCATAATGGCTACAGTTAAAATGTTGAGCACCTAAATACTTAATTAGATTTAATGGATTTAGTAGATTTTCATGACTTAAAACAAAATTTTACCTCTTCTCGAACCCGCGAATTTTTGTCGTCCAAATATACCGCCAGCATGGCGACCACCCGTTTCGGAACTAGCGTATGGAACAGATCCTGAATTTAAATAAATTCCATTTGCCTTGTTTTAATCAATGAATAAGTTAGTAATTTAGAATTTTAACATATACTATAATATATAAAATCAATAAATTAACAAATAATTTAGTAAACCTGACCTGGAAAGTCATCATAATAATTTGTTTCACAACGGCTTTTTGATTCCCGAAATGCCGTGAAACCAGTTGAACGATTTGCTAAAAAAGGATTAGACCATTTCTCAGCTGACGCCATTCCTTTAAAGTCCAAAAAAATCGTATCATACCTGCAAATGCGCCTCTATATTTTGCTTTAGCCGATTAACAGTCAGCCTTATTAAATCCAATGCCATCACGACGACCTAAAATTATTCTTTTATTTATCTTTTATTATTTTGTACTTACCTTAAAATTCAAATCCTCCAAAACATGCCCAATTCGAACAAAATACGAATGCAAGTGCTGCGTAAATTTTGCCATCTCTTCAGGGCTGATCTTCTCAATGATGCTTTTTAGCTTAATCGCAAGGTTTTTATGTTTTAAAAAAAGTCTAACCTTTTCAAGGGCGGCCATTCTAGCCGACGCATCGTCGTCGTTTAACATTGCCTCAACGTAAGTAGGGACGATGGCGTAGCGAAACCTGGACTCTCTATGCTACTGTGTGGCGAAATCAAAACATACTTCCTTTCTCCGGATTTGGTGAGGCCCCGGGCAACAGAATCGGGCTCTGAAATGAAATTTATTATTATTTTATCATAAATAATTTTAAATTTAGAATTCAAAAGTTGAGAATCTTTTTAAATTACCTGTTTCTTCGGTCGGCTCCGCGACTGTTGGTCGGATTTTTGCTCGAAAAGCCGTCTGCTGTTGTGGAGACATTTCTTTTAGGAATTTTTCCGTGGCTTCTTGGCCGATAAAAGCTTAAAAAAGATTTAAATAATACAATTAATTTATGTTGAAAATACCTTGTAGCTTCCGTAATGCTTCAGCCGATCTCTCGGCCACTTCTTTATCTTGGTTTTGGACTTGAGTCGTAAGCAAATCTTTAAGAATCAAGTCGTTTTTCAAGTTTAGCAACCATACCAATCAAATTTTTCCAATTTCCAGTTTTCTCCTCGGTAATGTAGAGATTTGGAAGCTGGAATATGCTTTATTTAAAGTCTTATGTTTTTTATACCTCCAATAACATTTCCAGTTTAACTGATCGTTCCGTTAAATCATTTAAACAATTTAAAAGCATTTTCTAAAACATTCTACATTGTTAAAATCTATAAAAATTACCAATACGGCGGGCAGACCCTGTGGGACCATTCTAAGAAACATTTGCACCGCCTGGACCGTGATTCTTCTAAAATAACGGGATATAAACATCGTCTTAAATTCAATAAATTCCCTAACCTGACCGTAACCTTCGGACTTCCCAATTTCGTCAACAAATTTGGCATTAAATAGCAGGCACAGTATTCCAGGTTCTAATTCATCGGGAATTTTTGTAGGAAATTTGGGGCTTACCGCGCCCAAGCTCGGCATGGCTTCCATCAAAAACTTGATCATTTGATGCTGCACCTCCCATCGGTCTTCGGTGAGGATTTTGTCAAGTGCTTTGAAGAGTTCGCCTTTTTTGGTGAATTTCGGGAACCAGTCGGGGTCACGTTTTACCATTGTCATAAGACGATTCAGGGTCTGAAAAAGGACATTAAGCCTTATATAGCGTTACTAATAAATAGGTGTTTCACTGTTTTTTCTATTTACCTGTAATCGAATATCAAAGTCTGGACTCTTCAACAATTCTACATAATCCTCGCTGGACGGCATAAATGCCGGTGAGGGTGTTCGATCCCCATTTACAGCCGGAAAGAGTGTTGTCGAGTAGCTCGGCAACATCCTCTTCAAAATTATTTGTATTTTATACATTTTCATGCAAAAATGGCCCTTAGGAAAGGTTAAAAATAGGAAAAATTGTAAATAAAAACCAGCTATGATTTTAAATATTAAAGAAATTTAATGAATAACATTATGGAATACATATCAGCAATTTCTAAATCTTAAAAAACTTATTGTACCTGATTTGCATTGCAAAAAAATTAAACTACGCTTTGAAAAGCTAAAAATGCATACAAAGTTGACAAAGGCAGCAAAATAATAACATAACATCAGTATGGAAACGCGATTATAGATCAAATCCGCGCCAAATCGAAGACCTCCCGAAAACTTTTACCGGGGCTTCATCACATTTCTTGGCGACTCCCTCCCCCTGGTTGGCCCTAATTTGCTCTTGTTGCCCGGCCAACCGGGACAAACTGCCAATCGACGAAAACACATACCGATACCCCGGTCCCCCCCCCCTCAACACTATCCATAATTAATTGTCTGTTCTGAACTTGGGGCTACCGGAAGTGGATCCGTCCGAAAATTTTGAAAATAGGGCGAATAAAAATGGCAATATTGCAGCCGGTTCTTGATATTCCCACAAGAAATAGCGTCAGAAATTTTTCGTAAAACCGATTCAGTCAAATTTTTCTTGTGAATGCCACCAATCAACATTGGGAGTCATTTTGCCGGATTTACGGATTTTTTTTAGCAAACTTAACAATAATAAACATATTTACTGACAGCTTTTTGGTTAAAATTCTGATGTGCCTATTTTATTTAATCATTCAAACTAATTTTCGAATAGCAAAATTTCAGATCTCTATGATTTACAGCCGTTTACTTACTCACAAAGCATTTTAGAGCGAGAAAGACATAGACAGAGGGAGACATACATAGAGAATGAAGGAGAGAGAAAACGAGAGAGAGAGAGAGAGAGAGAGAGAGAGAGAGAGGAGAGAGAGTGAGACCGAGAGAGACCGAGAGAGACGTTGTCTAGCTGAAGAGTGGGTGGGGGAGTGAGTGAGTGGGTGAGTGATTGAGAGAGAAAGAGAGAAAGAGAGAGCGAGAGAGAGAGAACTGGGCTAATAAGTATAATATCCCAACCTCATATGTAGTAGCAATTGAGAAATTCGTCAAACGAAAACAGCCATCATGGCCCAATGAGATTGTTTTGAGGGTTTTGGCTATTTGGTGGGTGGGTGCCCTCGGAGTCGTTCGAGTCGCAGGTGCACGTTACCCTAGTGACACGCACTACCTTCCATCCCCATTCCACACACACGCATAACCACACTGTTCCAACAATTTGGGCTAGCCAAAAGTAGAAAGACAGTCCGAGTAATCAAAATGACTAAATAAAAACCCTAATCCAATTTAAACTATTAAAAGAAAAAAGAGCTGCTATAAAAAGTCACCACGCGACTGAGAATTTAAAAAAAAATGCTGATATTTAAAAAGGTGCGAAATACATCAGCTACTAAAATGAATGCCTACTATTAAAAAATTCTAAAAACTACACAAAATCTAAAAAAATTTTAAATCTAAAATTTTCACAATCTTTCAAACTTTTCAAAATTCTTTTGTATGCTTAGATGCACAAAAACAAATTTCGGCAGGAATACACATTTATTTTCGTTATAACATATACCGTATAAATACATATTTTCAAATCCATTTCTTGACTATTCAATATAGTAGTAGGTGTCGATGGTGTCCATAAAATACTTGGTCTGCTGCAGAATGTCGTCAATGTCTTTTTCGATCTTTGTGTAGATGTAGCTCATCATTAGCATTGGATGGCTCTGAAAATAATATCTATGTAAATAGCCTTAAGATGGTCTATCAGCTACACTATGCTCCAAATGACATTTTCCACCACCTACCTTGATATTGTCGATATCCTGCTGAACCCGGGCGATCAATCGACTGCAAGCATTGATGGTCAGATTCCGAGTTTGGCCCATAGGTTGGCATGCATATCGGGATAGATACACGATCGCGCCAATTTGTGCATCAACTGCTTGGCCTTCAGCAATTTCGTCGTCTTCATTCGAGACGATAATCCATTCGTTCAGTTGCTGAAAAAGCTTATTTAATTCGATTTGAAACTCCTAATACTATTTAGTTAGTATCTTTTCTAAATTGATAACTTACCAAGATATATTTGACGAGAGTATCAGCTGCAAAGAGTATCTCATTGTACTGTTCGTTCAATTCACAGTAGAGGTCATATTGATCGGGATATCGACGGCTCTGAAAGGGGTCCATAGGTATCGATCGGAATCTATTGATTGCAGCTCTTTAGAAGAGATAGCTAGCTAGCAGCTGTTCTTTAGGAATGGAAAAAATAAAGCGAAAAGTAACGAACCGATCGAAGAAGTTGGCTGACACATTGGCGAAGATGAAATTGCGAATAGGCAATATCTGATGATGTCATTGGGGTGGCAGAAGTCATCGAGGACAGCTGAGAAATCTGAAAAAGAATCGAAATTAAATTTTATAATAATATGAATTGATGTGATAGTAACATTATTGAATAAAAAAGCGTGACTCACCATATCGAGAGATTTTCCTGGATAGATACCAAGTTGATGTTGATGTTGAATGGTATCGATTGATTCTTGCTGATCCATGGTAGTAGTAGATACATCAGATACATTAGATACAGTAGTGGTTCGGAGAGTAGTGTCGATACAATATTTAGGATATTTACAATTGGGGGTAGTGGGGTGAATTTTGAAATTAGTTGGAGGAGTGAGAGATAATTGGAATCCATTAGCTAAAGCTTGAGATTTGGCTTGCGAATGGACACGATCACGAATTTGTTGAGCCAAAAGAGAGAAATTAGGGGATGGAGAGGGGGTTTTCACCGATAATTGAGATTGAATTTGGGCCTGCAGTTTCATAGCCAGAGGGGAAATGGAACGGGTGGTGGAGGGGGATTGGAACATTGCCGAGGAATGGGTTGGTTGGTTGGTTGGAAGTGAGAAATGAAGACTGAATATTTGGGGAATGGAAGGGTTATATATTGATTATCAATAGGTATCTGTGGTATGATTAGTGAGAACACACTATTGGAGGCTTGATAAACATTAAAGGGTGGGTATGGCAGATGGAGGGAAACGTTTAGAGGTCTGGAGGGTCCCTTGGGATATATCTTCTTTAATGAGGGGCTGGTGGTATTCAAACATTTGCTGCGTTTTGCGGGAAGATGACAAACTTATCATAGCTTGAGGTCATTTTCTTGAAGATACTTGTAATTTTACAAAAAAAAACGTTTTTTATTTTCTAGTATTTGTTTATCTATTTGAGAAATTTTTACTTTTTTAATTTAGTTGTTAAAAACCCGGCTTGCAATATATCCACGGTTCAAAATCTCAAATTTTGTGTATAAGTTATGCTAAATTTTATCGTTATCTCTTTGAATTTAAATGTTTGAGGTACGAAAGGATTTAAATAATCGAGGATATGCAACATTTATTAATAGAGTTTTCTTTTTTAATTTTATGGTTTTTGGGTGGAGCAGTTTGTTTGGTATTTTTAGTACTGCTCAGAAGAATGTTTGTTTTGGCTTGTATATGTAAATCCGGTGTATTTTTCAAGACACTTGCAGGTTCCATTTTTATTGTGTACAGACACAAATGGCTCAAATCTATTGAGCGTGGAAGCGGTGACGGTGACGGAGAACCTTGCGGGCACGGTGACGGAGCACCTTGCGAGCGGCAACCTTGCGATGACGGTATCCTCCAGTCTGAGGTGCAGGCTGATGAACGGGCTCACTAGGGGCCTGTCCACCACGAGGAGGGCAAGGGCAGTAAGCGGCATCCTTGCCGGGCTCTCCATCTTGTCCAGGGCCACCGGGCTGTCCATCTCCACCGGGAGCTCCAGGGAATCCAGGTTGTCCTTGAGGTCCAGGGGGTCCACGGGGTCCAGGCTGAGATTGACGTCCAGGCTGTCCGGGCTGTCCAGCGGGTCCAGGGGGTCCACGGGCTCCAGGTTGACCGGGCTGCGAGACGTAACGCTTTCCGGGCTGTCCAGCTTGTCCAGGCTGTCCAGGGCGTCCGGGCTGTCCAGGGTGTCCGGCATCTCCAGCGGGTCCAGGGGGTCCAGGACGGCCACCTCCGTATGAAGCGCGTCCAGGCTGTCCAGGGTGTCCATCGGGTCCCTTGTTTCCAGCAGGTCCGGGGCGTCCAGCGGGTCCACGGGGTCCAGCGGGGCAGACTTGGCAACCTCCGGCTTCCTTGCTGTAGCCACCAACGCCTTGCTGTCCGTCCTGTCCGTGCTCTCCAGGGTGTCCATCCTCACCGGGATGTCCAGCCTGTCCGGGGGGTCCGGGTGGTCCACGAGGGCAGTTGTTGGGCTGGGCGCCGCAGTTGCATTGAGCCTGACGCTTCTCCCTGCGGAATAGTCCGTGAATGGGTGCCTTGCGGTGAGCGGAGTGTCCGGCGCGTCCGCCGTGCATTTCCGTCCAAGCCTCATTGGCGGCGAGCTGAAAAATTTGGGGTTTTTGAGGAGAAGGTGCTTTAGAGTCTTTCTAATCAGGCTGTAGTACTTACACGGAACTCTCTAAGGTCATGCTGGCTGGTTGTGCGCCATTCGTTGATGTCGTTGAACATGTAGCCGGCAAAAGCCAGGCATCCTAAAAATTAAAAAATTATACTTGAATGTCAATTTTATTAAAAATCTAGTTAAATTTAAAGAAACCTACCAATTAGCGCAAAAGCCGAAGCCGTCGTAGCGACCCAGAGAGCACCGCGCTCGAGACCCATTTCTTGTTGTAGGGAGGGATGGGACCAAGTAGTGATGATCTACCCCCACCTCACCCTTATATACCCATCGAACCCATGCTCAAACTCTTTCTCCTCTCTTCAATCTACTTGTACATCTCCCGCCCTACCAGTTCCCCCTCTCCCACCCTCCTCTCCCTTCTTGCCATTGTTTCAAACGGATTCGATTCGACATTGAAAAAGCCGAGAGATGTGCCTCCTCCTCTTAGGCTTTGGATGTGGGGGAGAGGTGTGTTATCGTGTTTTTCGAGGCTAAAGGCGGGGAACTCATGTTCCTCCCAGCTCTCTCTTTTCACTTTTCCCTTTTTTCCGTTACTCGGTTCGGGATAATTGCCACTTTCCCTCCTCACTCAATCTGAGGAGCAGCCTATTCGTACATCGGCTTGATCTCGGCGTTTCGATACTGCAGCTTGTGTGGCTGTTAGGCATTTAGAGGGTTTTAAGTTTTATGGTGCTGCGGTAGGGCTGGTTTATTGGGTATGAATGAGGTAGGAAGAGCTTTAGACTATATCCTAGTGTTATTAAAAGGTATAGACAAATTCCTAGGCTGTATTTTCACAAATTTCCTATCACAATTTTATTTCCTCGACCACTTTCAATTATGTAGCACATCAGAATCGGCAATGGCAATAAGATCAGGGCTGAGATAAGGCAGGGGGATGAGCTTCCTTGAGATATTTTGTGGGAGAATTATTGCGGGGGGTGAGGGTGCGTTAATTGCTTTGTTCGTCCTCCGCTCAGAAGTGTCTTCTCCTCTTCGGCAGATCGCGGGCTTCATAGAAGACTTGATCACCTTGACGCCAGCAGCGGTGGAGCTGGAATATAGTGCAAATAGAAGGGTTTTTGTCATTTCAAATCAGAGGTTATAGGGCATTCGATAAAATAATTTCCCAGATGCAACTCACCGCAGGAAAACCTTGGACGAAAAATTATTTGTGAGATTTTGATTTATCAACCAGTGATCAAAAAGCAACGGAAATGCAAAAGCTTGATTCTGTATGCGTTAAATCAGTTAGTACGTTTTTAGTATAGTCAAAAACCTTACCCTCTGCCCAACCATACGATCCGTATTCACCGGCATCGGGGTCTGATCATCGATCAAACACTCGAGCACCCGGACGGCACCCTGCTCGGTGCACGTCTTCCGGAACTTTCCTTCCACCACCCAGCTATAAAATACTGTCTAAGAAAATTAGACTCCGAATTTACGTGTCTTCTGGTTGCCTCACGACTCCCTCATCAAGACAGCTCATTCCGCTGTGCGAGAAGCCGGGTGGTGGTCGGATGGCTGGTGGGTGGACGATCTAAAGTAACGATTTTTGACTGGGTTCGAAAATTTACATGAATTGGCTGGCTCGTCACGGGTTCGACAGTTTCCTGGGGGAATACAGCTTCGCTGATCACATCAGATGCGGGAACAACCTGGAAATGGTGGCTTGTATATAAAAATATTTACTTTTTTTTACCTAATATACTAGGAATTAAATCTATTTCGCACCTGCTGGATAGTGTTGTCTTCTTCGACGGGGGGTTCGGGCCTGGCCATGACTGCCGGTGGTCGGATGCCAGGGGGTTTAGGGCCTTCAGGCTTATTCAAGCTGACCCCAACAGTTGGTGGCTGCACCGGGTCAATGGCAATGGGAGGCTATAATTGAGATTTTAGCATTTAGATTGACGTAAGCATCAGAGGGTATCTAAGGTATTGCACATTACATATTTTCAACTTTCTAACCGACCAATGGCTCAGCAGGAGCGGCAAGCGTCGGAACCTCTCCTGGTTGTACCTCCGTTTCTGTTGTACTCTCGACAGATACCGTAGTCGCCTCCTCGACAAACGAGCTTGTCTCCAGAGCAGTCGTGCTCTCCGTAACCTCGATAGCCGTGGTCGTCTAATCGCAGATTTCATTCGTCACCAAAAACCCAACCTCTACAGGCACTTGAGTCGCAGCTTCAGTAGATGCCAACTCAACAACAGCGGCGGTCGTCACTTCCGGCAATAATGTGGGGAGAGCCACAGTAGTCGGCTCAACAAATGGCATCTGAGGCTCGAGCGGGATGTTCTCCTTCAGCTTGGACAGAGCAAGCTTTTGGAGGTTGACCTTCTCGAGGGCACGGCCACGGTGGAGGAGGACAGTTCCGTTTGACTCCTCGGTACATCTAAATAGGTCGATATTTTGGGCGCTGAGTTTAAGGATTACTTGAAAAGGACTGGTCCCTCAGTTACTTGTCCGTTGAGGGGGATGAAAGCTCCGGAATCTGTGAGGCAGTTCACAACAAAGAGCCCACGCTCCGAGCAGCTGCGGTTGAAGTTTTTATTGTGGATCCAGGTATCACCTGATATATAGGGTAAGATCTTTAGCAGATTTGACCTTACCAAGTTGGTGTCCTTCGCAGAAGGTGGTTGGGTGCATGGCTTTACGGTAGTTGATACGGCCGTCCTCTCCCCGATTGCAGGAATAGACCTGAAAAGTTATTATATATTTGTATCCTTTAAAAAGTCGATTTTTTTCCTAGATTTAGATAAAACTCACAATTCCCTCCTCAATGACCTGGCCACCGATCGGCACTTCTGCTCCGGTCGGGCTGGCACATCCAACGACTTCCGTCTTCCAGGATGAATCCTTGTTAATCACGCATCGCATTGTGAACATTTTGCGAGCGACCTAGAATATAAAATAACAGATAATTTTTTGTACAGTACATACCCGAACCACATTAAATAAATATCAAACGTAAATTAAATTATATATATCTTACGTTAAAAAATTACCCAAGTTTCTTCGTTTGCCCGGGTGACGCCATCCAATTTGCAGGCATAGCCAGCGGCAAGGAAGGCGGAGAGAAGTAGGAACTTCATCTGGAAGTGTATGAGTTTTTATTTCATCTTAAAATAAGTATAGCGCTACTATTATGATTAGTCGTCATTAAAAAGCGTGGTATTAAAAATACAAGCATCACTAGCTAGCTAGAGAAATTATTAACAAAGAGCTAAAGGAAAAGTGACAAATCCTCCCCGCGACCATCGAAAATGAAATCTAACCCACAATCACCTCATAGCCCCCACCAAAAAAACTGTAACCGGGTCACCCGGCCACATTTTTTGGCGGCGCCAACCTCTCATCACAAAAATTAGGTGATACGCGATCGTCCCCCGAAAAAAACGTGCAAGCTATGACTGTAGATGCATCCCTATGCTAGCGGGTAGCCAGGATGGATAGCGACGCCCCCCCTCCATTCTACCTAGGCAAAAAGGGTCGAGACCGTTTCGTGGAAATTGCTGGAAAAACGGATCGTCCCCCCGGGAGAACGACCCACAATGCTGGCCCCCTCTTGGATTGTGAACCTGTGACATTGAGAGAGGTTACAATTTATTGCACTACTAAAACCTTTTAGTACCACCTTTTTTTACTGCAAAACGAAATAAGGTAAAGTAGGACAACTGGAAATTACACGCCCAAACTATGCATTAAAAACTTGAAAAAATAAACTCGGAATATTCGGAGAGGCTACAATTTATTGTTTCACAAAGAAGGCTACAAAAATATGACATAAAAGTATACTGAAAATTACATAAACCAGCTGCCTAGAAATTTAATTCAACAAAATAAGTTGCGATAAAACAAAGTTCAAAACTAATTAATTTTAGTTTATGCTAATCTATCGCCTAAACCCCAGAGAAAGACAGATTAAACGACGAATCTAGATTTGTGCGGGTTTTATTTTGATTTCTTTAAATTCATACGGGTCGTCTGTCAATTAAGATAACGAAACAAATTACAAAATTCCTGGGATTTTCACGCATCTAAATAGCAGAAAATAAAACCCCTAAAAAACGGCTCCTACCGACTAGTTTGGCCAACAAAATCGGAATTTCTCCCTCGTGCCCCATTCGGATAGACCCCCCCGACCAGTTTTTGCAGCAGGCATGAGTAACGCATAATGAGTCGCCGAAATTGGATTCCATTATCTCATCCCTCGAATTTCCCACGGAATATGCATTCCAGGGTAGTTTTCGGGCTTTGATGGTCTCGATTTTTTTTAAAACAGTTTGTTCCAATGACCTGATATGTTGCTACCGTAGTTCGGGGTGTCTCGGAGGGTCTCTCACGGGATTTTGTTATCAGTTCATTTTTTGCAGGGGTCGATGGGTTTCCGGAAAAAATGAAGGGTCAGTGGTTGGGAGTAGGGTTGGCAGGGAGCCAATGAGATCGTGGATTTTGGGAAATTTTGATGATGGATTAAAGGGCTTGGGAAGGCAAAAAGATGTTTTTATTGTATTTAGAAAAGGTTAATTCGATAATCTAGTTTTTCGCTTTACGTAAAGGATTTCCTTATGCTAAATTGCGGAATTTGAAATTTCACGGTACTTTTAAATCGGCAAAGTCGTCAACGGTCCTTCTAAACCTTTGTTCTCAATCTGTACTTTTGCATTTCCGAAAACAGGCGTATTTTTTAAGGTTATCGAGATATCTTGCAGATTTTCGGATACGGTCTCCCGATTGGCTGACCTTGCCAAAGCTTCGGGAGCCTAAGGAGAATAGATGAGCCCCGGAAACGCCGGCGGCCCGAGACCGCGCCCTGAAAATCGCTCTAGGCAGGCCGAATGATGATAAATGAGCGTGGGTGCAACCTGGAAAAGTGTGGCGAGATAAAAAACAGGGTGCGATGTTGCAGGTCAAAGGAGCAAGGTTGGGGTACGGTAGAATCTTTTAACGCCATTATGAATTATTGACAGAATTTTATAGGCCAATATTTGACTTTATAAACCTTTTAAGGCGTTATTAGCCTAATGATACTAGGTTATGACGACGCGCCTGTAGTAATATATTTTTTAAGATCCAAAAATCATTTTTTTTTACTTCACAAACGTTTTTACAAGAATACGATTTCTTCAACGTTCAATTTCCCCGAATAACCTCCCGACCTATCACTGATACGCAACGAGAAAAGAAACGAACGCGCAGCAGCGTTTTCTGCATTCTTCTTTTGCCTCTTCTTTCCCGGGTGGATAGTTCACCGGGCCAAGCACCAGCTAGCACAGATCAGCCCTGACCCGGGCTGAAACGGATCTCACGGCCGTTCCGGTGGCCCGCGCTAAAAGTGCCGCTAAACGCATTAAACGACGTTTGATTGGTTGTAGGGCAACGTGGAATTGCGTGACAGTTGTTTTAAGGGTCTTGGGTGTTTTTTAGAGCTTGGGGGTTCGAAAGAAGCGCAGAAAAAAATTTTCAGAGCTGTTTTTGTTTAAAGGAGAACATAAGAAGTGTAGATTTTCTAGTACATCCATAATTTTTACATATTTATCACGAATTTCTATGAATGAACCAACAAAGCTGCAAAAACACATAATGAGATGCCCAATGATGAGAGAAAAATAACAACACGTTTTTGTCGTACGGTAGTTCTTAGGTAAAAATCGGAAAAAACCATAAATTAAAAACAAGAAGAATCGATTCCTTTTTATTCCCAGGCTCGAAGGCGACCCGTTGTGAATCCGCGTCCTTTATGTATATGAGTGTTGTCGGTGGCGCAGCATTTTAGCCAGGGCTCGAATCGCTCTTCCTGGAATTAAATTCTAGTAAATTTAAATTAATTTAAGCGTTGTAGTTTGTAGCGCAGGATAATTATTGAGCACTTACGCGATCATCAACGCTTGTCCAATCCCTGGCCGCCGGTCTTTCTGGCAAGTTCCAAGGGCAAGCCCCACGACGTGCCGGTTTACTACAAGTTTATAAAATTTTTATTAAAATAAATAAATATTCAATATTATTTTTATTAAGCTTTATTTACCTAATGCGCCCTCCAATTGTCCGCTCACGAGGAGGTTGGAATTGGCTGAAATCACTCTTATTTTGTCCTCCTGAAAATTCTACCGTTGATGCTGCCCAGCCGCAAAGCTGATTCGATCGATAATTGAGACGCGTTGTTGCTGAAAAAAAACTACTTTTCAACAAGATTTTCTTGAAATACCTTGCGACCCTGACGAAGAAGCGATGCGGTTGTGCGGACTGGACGGGAAACTGCAAAACAAGACATTTAAAGGGCCGCTGAAACCTGGCCTACCCCTCCCACGATTTCCAATTCTCGCTATCGACTTTTGGGGGCGTCGACCGTATCCAAGGTTCCGAGTTTTCGCTGGCATTACATAGACTTCTTCCTCTTCTTCGATATCATTATCTTCTTCCTAAATTGAATAAATAAATTAAGAGACGATCTAGAGATTTGCTATGTTTTTATTACTTACCACGGCATCGTAATCAACATATTCAACACCATTTGATTCTCCCTGTTCTTCTGATTCATCCAATTCCCAGCCTTCATCATCATCATCATCATAAATCTCTTGTTTTCTAAAAATTTTATTTTAGTTGGTAAGGAATTTTTTGTATAATAAATGACATTCATTACATAGCTAAAATCGATACCTGCTCGGTCGTGCATTACGCGCAGCTACCGCTTTGGTCCAGCTTATCCTCGATTCCATAGGGACTGTTGCTCGCGCCTTTCGTACTGGTGCTTTTTTCTATCATCATCATAAACCTCGTTACTATTGAAAACTTACAGTAGTCGGGGCCGATGATTTTAGTCCTTTAAAATACGAATCCAACGTCCGCACATTAACCGCGGGGAGTTCCTTAAAAAAGTTTTAGGGCCTTTGAAACTGGATTTACATTTTCCTTCTTCTCTTCACCATCAGATTCATCGGCAATGTCTCCAAAAATCGACTCCTCTTCGTATTCCGGATATTCCAATTGCTGATTCTCCCTTCGTTGACGAGCCAAAACGGTCCTAGAAATAAAATTAACTTTTTAATGGAATTGTTTACTTTGTTGCGTTCCACACATCACTCTGCATCCCGTCATCCCCAGCGTTGAACACCAACATGTTTCGGGCCGGCATTCTGAAACTGGCTTAAAAAAGAAAAGGAACATTTTGATAAGATATGAAACGATTTAACATCTCAATTTTTTAAAGTAATAAAGTAATAGATAGATTTATTTAACCGAAATTGGGGAGATGTAACTAGAATGTAGGTAGACTTTTTTGGCACCATGGGGGGCAACGGGGAGGCGGGACTGGCATTAAAAATGGTAGATAAATAAATTATGCAAGGCGCACAGGTCATGTAAACTGAATCACAGCGATATCACAAAATGTAGGTATATAGAGGTTATAAATTAAAAGGTAGAATATTTTTAAGTGCACGGCAAATATACAGGTATCAGTTTGGGGGGGTTGAGCAAGCGAAACAGGCAGTGGTACGCATAAATAAATAAATAATTCTGGTTCTATACAAATTGGTGGAGAACAGTTGGAGCGCTTAGCGAGAAAGCACCTGAAAATGAGTGTTATTCAATGCATTTTGTATGCAAATTAAGGTATGGTTTTCAAATAAAAATTACCTCTTGATAACAAGTTTCACAGGCTCGGACCGGGTTTTTATGGCTGGCCAGCTTGACTGTGTGGTTGGAGCAGGTGCCGCAGAAGATTAGGCCGCAAACCCTAAAAACAGAAGAGTTTTTGGTTTATCCTTTGAATTGTAGGGTGTATAATTTTATATTAAATTTTCCAAAACCATACCTGCAATGGTGCTTCCGAACGGTCAAGGAAAATCCTTTTCCGCAAGTCGTACAGTTGACAGCTTCGTTGTCGTCGAGCCACTTCCGGGATAGCTGCTTCGACATGTCCATCTGAAATCGGATAATCGTTGTATTTTTATGTTTTAATTAAATCGAAAGTTTTGTAGTTTATAATTACCTGTAGCGATTGATTTGCTCTCCCGAGTTCATGCATCGCCCCGAGGGCATCATCAAAGCGTCTCTTATTTTCCAGCGCTCGCTCCCTCTCGAAATCGAGGTCCGATTCGGTGTTCAGGCAGCTTAAAATATACAGTATTATTACTATTAAGGCTATATTATAGACGATAATATATTATTTTTCTTAACGTTTTCGTAAACCCACCGCTCGATCAGCGCTTTTTTCTCATCTTCCCATGAGGCGACTTGTTGGAGAAGTTCTAAAGTTTTCGATTTAACGGATTTTTTATTTAGCTTCCTCTTTTTGTAACCTTTCTAACCTGCATTCTTTCCACCTAATTCCGTAAGTGTCCTCTCGACACCATCAATTTCCGACTGTTTGGTGGAGATCTCGGACAGCAGACTCTCCACTTTTCGTTCGCTAGCCTAAAACAAGAAATTTAATGAATTTTATTTTCTAACAAACCGATAGTTCAGACGCAGACTTGTCTTGAAGAGCCAGAAGAGATTCATTTGCGAGATCTAGTTGATGTTGGAGGGCGACCTGCAAAAAGTTTAAGTTTATTGGATATTGGACCTACCATTTCCTCTTGCTTTTCATTATATTTGGCTGTAGCTTCAATGCGTTCTTCCACCAATTGTTTATTCACAGATTCATAGGCTTCTTGTAACTAAAATTACGGTATTTCCAAAATTCGCGGTGAATTACCTTGGCAATCTGTTTCGTTTGTTTCGAATTTTGGTCTTTCATATGGTCCATCTCTTTTTGGTTGGTTGCTAATTCTGAGCGAAGCTTTCCCTCAGTCTAAAATTTACTTGTTTGTTTTATTAGGCTTTCAATTTTACCAAATTAGCAGCATCCAACTGATTCTCCAGCTCAATCACCTTGCCACTAACGATGGATTCACGTTGCTCAAAACTGGCCAATTCCTGGGCCAGTGTGCCCTCGAATTGCTTCTAAAGTCGTTTAAAATGGATATCCCTTAAACTTACAAGGCGATCGCCTACTTCTAGGATTTCTTCGTCTTTTTGCGCAATTACAGTCTCAAGCCGGGATGTCGCTTTGTTTAAGCTCTCGATTTTCTGAACAAACATTATCCAGGATTTAAATAAAAGTAAGACAAACAACCTCTTCCCTCTCGTTCAACTCTTCAGACAGTTTTGTAAATTCTGCATCATAAGATTTCACTTTCTCTTCATATTCTTTGATTCTAAAATACCAATATTTCTCTCATTACCTTTAACTACCTCTTGCAATCATCCTGGAACTGCTCTTCGGCGTTACGCATTATCGATAGTTTCTCTTCTTCCAATTCTCGCACCCGGGTTTGGTCCAATTTTTCGCGTTCCGATGACTCTTCTATTTGCCTATGCAGGTCGGCAAGTTCAATTTCCTTAAAAAACAATCTTAAACTGTATTTTGACAATTCTTGCCTTCTGTTTTGCATTTTCCTCAGCTGTCGACCTAGCACTCCGCTCCATTTCTAATTCCAGTGATAGTTGGGATAGCTTTCCGCTAGTTTCTTCTGACTGTGCCGACTCCAGGTTCAGTTTTGCCTAAAAATTAAAGTGAAAGATGAAATTAGATAACAAACCTCAACAGCCGCCTTTTCCTTTTCCAGTTTCTCTTTGGCATGTGTCAATTCTCGATTGACTTGAAGCATTTCATCATTAGTTCGCAGATTCTCTTCCAACTGTCCTTCGAGCATTGAAACCTTCGACGAGAAGTGTTTTTGTTTTTCAGCCAAATCGCTTGTCAAGGCATTCAGATTCTGTTGCAGAATTTCGTTTTCTTTTCTTGTCGAGTCCAATTCGTCTCGGATCTGGCTTCTTTCGTTTTCGACATTTCGAAGGAGTTCGGCCTAAAATACAGAATCTAGATTTGGTTTTCGACCACTCACCATCTGTTTCGCTTTCTCTTCCGCCAGTTTTACGGTATCCAAACTGTGTTCGATCTGATTTTTCGAATCTACCAGAGCTTTGTCTTTCTCTTCGACACGCTTTTGGAGTGCCGCAACTTGAGAGGTCAGCTAAACCATAAGTTTTTTTATGATAGAAAATTATTAAAACCTCTTCAATCTGCCCATTTGCGGCAGTTAGACTTCCGTCTCTTGCAACGATGGCTTCCTTTAGCTTCGCAAAGTGAGCAGCATTTTTCTGCCTCTCCTCCTCGCGCTCTTTCTCAATCTCCTCGAACTGGTTCGACTAAAAAAATTCAAGCCATTTATCACTTTCTCACCTTTTTGACTAATTCTTCATTAAGAATGTTGAGTTGCGAGCTCAAAGCTTCATGCGCTTGGCTTCGCTTTTTGATCTCCTCAACGTGATCTCTTTCTTTGTGCTTCAGCTCCTTTTTCAAGTTTTCAGTTTGTTCCTCGGCTTCTGATTTTTGCTCCTTTAGGGATTCACCTAAAATGAACAAAAAATTAAAATAAATTATAAATAGAATTACCCAAAAGTGTGATATCCTCCAGCAATTTCTTCTTTTCCTCATTAAGCTGATCTATGGCCATTTTGGCACCTCCTTCTCCTTCCGATATCTAGAGCAAAAAATTTTAATTAAATTAAAATTACGTACTTTGGACAGAAGATCGCTGGCGTTGTCCTTTAGAGTTGCAATTTCTTTGGTTTGCGTTTCTAATTGAAGTCTCAGCTCCTTAATAGCTTCTAAAATGACATTTACAGTTTTTGCCGTTTCAAGCTACCGTCTTTCTTTGCCACCGTCCTTGTCAGCTCTTCATTTGCATCGCCAAGTTGCTGGAGCTTCGATTCTTGGGCTTGCGCATGAGAATCCTAATTTCCGGCATATAAAAAATATAGTATTTTTATTCACCTTGTTCTTGAGCTGCTCTCCTTCTGCTGTGAGTTTTCCAACTAATGCGGCTACCTTTTCATCGAGCTCGTTCTTCTCAGAAGTCAACTAAAAATTTATTGAAATATAAAACGCTTAAAATCTAATAAATACCCTCTTTGCTGCTTGTTTTTCTGCATCAAGTTGGCCTTCTAGTTCTTGAATCTTCGCTTCAAGTGATTTTTGTGTTTCATTTGCCTAAAAAAGGTTAATAGGCTCACGATCCTAAATACCTGATTCAGAGTCTGCTGTGCTTCTAGCAATTTCTGTTCCTTCTTCACCAGAATCTCATTAGAGCCCTCGATGCTCGATTTTCCCGTGTGGAGCTCTTCTTCTAGCTAAATTATTAAATTATAAATTTTGGGCGTCAAATCTCAAACCTGGCGGATTTTGTCATTTCTCGCCGACAAATCTGCTTCCAATGTTGCCGCTCTAAAATTTACATAATTCTAGCAATATTTTGATAGCTTACTTTTCTGAAACTGCTGCAGCTTCATTTGTTTTGTTTTTCAATTGTTGCCTAACTTCTTCCAGTTCCCGCTTCGCGGCCTCCAAATCTTTTGCGGTAGTTGCCGCCTTTTCCGACAATCCTGACAGCTGTTCGGAGGCTCTGGAACGATAAATAATTTTAAATATTTCGTAATTTTGCTTACTTTGAGCTTCCTTCTCCTTGTTCACGTATTTGGCGTTCCATCTCGCCGACCACAAATTTTAATCTGAGATTAGGATATATTATAAATACAAATTTAAGGGTAGCCAACGATTAGAATAACTGACTTATCACGTTCAGAAGTCAATGAATGCAGGTCTTCGATTTGTTTTTGAATCTCAGCATCTTTTTGTAGGGTTATATCATCCATCAGCTGCTGGGCGCGGACTAGTTCTTTCCTCAGAACTGCCACATCGTCCTCGGATGGCCTGGAATCCCTACTATTTATCAATAAATCGATGTTTTACGGTTTAAAGGGACCGTGAAGTCTCAAGCCCTCACCTTTCATCCAGTGTTTGGCTCAACTTGTCCATTTCTTTTTCCAAATCTGCCATCGCTGACTTGACTCTGAGCAGTTCGTCGCACATTACAGCATTTTCGGTCTAAAATTCGTTTGGGATCATTTAGATTAAATTTAGTTAAGTTTAACTTTAATTAAAAATATGGAAAGTGTGTCGTAATCAACTTAGTTTCAATTTTTAAGTGCAAAACTCCTAGGATTTTCTCCAAAGCTGGTGCATCAAACAAGGACAAACAGAATGACAGTCTGGGCACACTAATGAAGGAATATTGTGGAATCTGTAGATGAGCAGCCAACCTTCTTCTCCTCGTTGTCCTCCGTCAACGTGCGTACTTTCTGCGTCAACGCCTTCAGCCTGTCCATCACCTTAAAGCGACTGGGAAGTCAAACGGATTGTTTTTCATAGGTATCAATTTGCACATAAATAAACAAACATTTTCTACAGGACTTTAAATAGAAGCTGGAAATTGTTGAGCTAGTTTTTTTTTCACTTCCCAGCCCCTTTTTGTACCTCTTCCCGCAACAAAATCTTAGCTTTTAAGGGGGATTAGAGAATTTAGGGTGGAGAAGAGAACTCAACAGAGAAGCTCGACATTCAGTTTGATCTCTGGCCTACCTCCTTCTTGTCTTGAAAGGCGCTCTCGGCTTGGCGCTTCAGCGTGCCACCCTCTTTCTCGAGTTCCAACATCCGTTGGGTTACTGGAAATAAATTAATTAAAACTTGATTAAATAAAAAATAGTTTCCTATATTCTAATTTTACCTACCCATACTCTTCCCAGCTTCCAACATTTGAATCTGCTGCATCAAATACGGGACCTCCTCTTTTGGAACGTCTTGGGATTGGGAGAAAACGGCGTGTAATCGATCCAATTCCTATAACACCCGTAATTATTAAAATCCTTAAAGAGATGAGGACGGCATCTGTTGAACCCCCCCCCCCCTTGGGGAGGGGGGGTTCAACAGGTCCCGCGGCGATCTCGCGCGAGAGAGGGCTCCCAGGGGAGAGGCGCAGAGACATTTTCTTTCCCTCGCGTAATCGATTGACTTATGCCGCCCCTATCTCTTTAAATAGGCACCAACCTTTTTGAGCTCTGTTGAGAAATTCTTTTCATCTCGGATCTGATGTCGGAGTTCATCGACTTCATCTTCTTTTGATGCAAAAGCGGGTCCAGATGAGGTGTTTGAAGCTGAAAATCGAATTATATATATTTGTGATTTTTATAGCTTTTACCTCTTCTAGTTGAAGCTGGCTCGTCATTTAGCAAAAAATTAGGGTTTTCCATTGAGGTCATCGGTTGCTAAATTTGGCAGTTAATGAAAATTATTATATTCCTACCATCCCGGATGCGTGAGCTTTTTCAAAATGTTGACTTAAATCGTCTGGGGATGGAAATGGGGTCATACACATCGGGCAGAGGAAGCCTTCTTGTTCACCGTTCATACTGCCTAAATATTCTTTTTAGATAAATACCAGGGTTGAAAAACCGCTTCGCGGCTTTTCAACCCTGGCCCCGTCCAGGACCTGTGAAAGTCCTTAATTTGCATGTTTCTTCCTGAATTCTAGCAAGAAAAAAAAGTGAAAAACGGCTCCTCTGTCCCTTTATATAGGCTCATCCTACTTCCGGCGTATGCTAATTTCCCGTAACAAACAGGGTTTTACAAAAACCTATTTTTAATAGCGAAAACCGCAATTTTTCAAAATTTTTATGCGTGTGCAGTCGATTCCGGACCATTCTAAACCTATTGTCGTTTCTTCCCTATCCAAAAAACCCTTCCCCGAGGCTGTAGGAGCGGAACATCCTAACGGAAGTGCATGCAAATATACACACACACACACACAAACACTATTTTTTTATATATAGTAGGATATATTTTATACTAATATATGCTTTGCATGTTTTACACTCTCGTTTGAAAATTTCTATACCCACCTCTGCCGTTCTGATGGTCACGGCTCAAGACTCCAGGTAACTAAAATCGAATTTGGATCAATGTGGAGGGGAAGCGTGAGCATAAACAGTGTTGTCCTCAACTATAAACAAACCTCATTTGCCACCTGGGTCACCTGCGCTTTCAATTTTCGCAGCATGACTGTCTGAAAAATTGCATGTAATTAATTCGCTGAAAGCTGATACAACGATCAAGAAGAATGCACAATGTTTTACTACAGTTGGGTCAGAAGAATCCAATATGAGAGAGGTGAATACAATGCTCGTATAAAATATCGATTAATATCTGCCTGACAGGCGGCAAAAATAATTCACACATTATTGGGAGTTTGATAGGCACTGGAGAATTATTCCAAGCGAGGCTAATTTTGAATAATCGACAGATGTAGGCCTATGCACATTAATAAGTCTTACCACAATCCCATTATCAGATATTATCAAAACTTCGGTTACAAAAACAGTGGTACTATATTTCGATCAAAAACAGGTGCATTCTGAGGAATTTTTGGCAAATCCACGGTCGGCTTTGCTCTTCTCTGCAACGGGTCGGGGCGAAAAACCGGATTTTGTGGGTGCTGTGGATGATAGGGACTGACCGTTGCCCGAAATTGGGTGGCAGCCAAAAAAAATGGATCAAATCAAATATAAAAATTCGCTTCTTGCAGGTAAATAGGTGAATTTGTCTGTATTTCATAGTAAATTCTTGTCTATTAAATCAAACGGGAAAACATCTCGCAAAAGTAAATGTTTGGGCATTATTAGGGTCTATTTCTAGGGATTCATGCTCGGAAAGAGGTTCTATAAATTGAAATAGTTTCTCAAGGGTTAACCGCCTAACAAACGAATTATTGTAGGTTGTAGCGACAGATCTTCTTTAGGTGCTAAAACCGGGATAGCTAAACTAAATACCGTATCAGACATTCGGTCTCCGTTGAATGGATACAAAAAAAACACAATCACAAAACTTAACGAAACAAAAAAAAATGATTTAAAAAGCTTCAAGTTTGAAGCGAACGGGTGTACAACACTTGATTCTCTCATTCACCCAGATGTGTTCGACCCTGCGTCTTCACCCCCTCCGAAACCTTGGGAAAAGACCCCTCTACGGTGCCCACAACCGATTTCCCTGCCCTAAGCGCCCCTAAAAGTACACAACCTTGTTTATTGCCAATGTTTTCGTGCTCGGGGGCTTTCTGTTTTCCAGTATTCCAGTCGACTATTGAGAAATGTTCGTTTCCAGACTTGTCTCAATATACCATCCAAAGCCGCAAGCACCGGCCCGCAAGTTCTCGACTTGCAAAATGCAAGAGATCGACAAGTTTGCGCCAAAGATCAATTGCCAGAAAGCTGGGTGAGTTATTTGGCGCATTTTTGTTTAAAATAGGGCTAGATATTCATTTATAGTTCTTTTATTACTTTGTAAACAATTTTTGTTTCAGCACCTTCTCGTACGACACTGCCGTTGAGCGTTGGCCGAAGATTCTGACCAAAATCGTCGACCATTTCCACCGAAAGCGCCAGTCTTTGATGCGAGAGTATGGACAGGTGATCCCTTTACAGAAATCGAAATTTTTATGTTCAGGGCGCCGATGAGGACGTGAAACGTGTCGTCGCCAATTTGTCAGAGATGCGCTATCGCCTGAGTACCGACAAGCCGATCACCAAAATTGAAGATGATCTCATCGAAGATGCCGCAGTTTGGAACGATCTTATTGATGAGCAGAGGGAGCAGGTATCGGTGGTTGCTACTCGTTATTCTGTTTCGGTTTAGAAGGGTGATGATTTCACCTGGTTCAAAGGCGACTGGCTGTTCGTTGAATGCTACATGTATCGGAAGATCTACAGCGGCACTCAGCAGACGGCTTTTCTCAAGAAATATGATTACTTTGCTGAGCAGAAGAAAGAGAGCCTGGAGGACCAGTGAGTTGTCTAGGTTTTTAGAATAGTAAAACTGTTCTTTAGCGTCGAACAGACGATCGAATTGCTGAAGCACCTTCGCGAGAGAGTTGAAGCGAAGGAGACGCGTGAAGCTGTTTTGGAAGAAGATTTGAAGACGATCCTCAAGGTATTCTGATTTCAGACTGGCAAGCTTTTTTTCTTTGTTCAGATTTCCTTGTGGGGCAATAAGGCCGATCTGTCGCTGTCCGGCGGAGAGAAATCGCAACAGGTTTTGAAATGTTCTATTTTTCATAATATGATTTTAGGCGAAATCCCCTGTCGAGGCCGCAACTTCGCGTGACAATTACATTTTGGCAAACGACCTCGATGTGGTTGTTAAGGCTCTCTTGCACCTTGGGTATGTGAATAACCGATCGGCTCAAGTTATTACTTTACAGTGGAAGTCGCCAAGTTGATATTGTGCTCGACAATGCTGGTTTTGAGCTTATCGGTGATTTGATGCTCGGCGAATACCTTCTTTCGCATGGATTGGCCGATCGTGTGGTCTATCATGGAAAGGTAATAATTATTTTAAAAATCCAAGGGTTTTGTCTAGAGCTACCCATGGTTTGTCTCTGACACGACCCATGCCGACGTTCAATGGCTCATTATTCGGCTCTGCCAATTCGATGACGTAAACGCAAAATGGGCTGGATTGCGTTGGCGCAAGCGATACGAGAAGGTAACATTTTTTAACGTATTGATCATTATCAATTTCAGGACGAAATCGCCTTCGAGGCGGACCCGTTTTGGACGTTGCCCCACGCTTTCTGCGATATGAAAGAGGTGTGCAATTCTTAATTTTTAGTTATGATATGTTTTAGTACGCCCCAAGGCTCTACACGCAATTCACCGAGTCGAGTCTTCTGGTTTTCAAGGGCGACCTGAACTACCGGAAGTTGACTGGTGATCGCTACTGGCCGCATGTCACCCCGTTCAAGGTTTTTCGATGTTTTTGATGTCAAAAAGTGTTTTATAGGAGACGCTGCGTGGCTTCCAGCCCTGCCCTGTTTTGGCTCTCCGTGCCATGAAAGCCCAGACGGCTGCTGGCCTGTGCGATTCCGTCGTCCAGAGGATGCGCACCGAATTTGGACAGGATTCGTATGAATGGCTGGTTACGGGTGATTATGCTTTGATCCAATATGCTGAATAATTTGCCTATCTAGTCTCGCTTTCTTTTGCAGTGGCTCTCGGCCATTTAATTTAATTTCGCTTTCGATAACCTTTGTTTTCGAATAAAAAAATAGTCGGTGTTTGTTTAACTGATCTCGCTTTGTTGTCGCAATGTGGTCTTTTTAATTCGGATGTTTCTCTGGTTTGTGATAAAAGGCTTTATTGATGAAGTCCAATTCGAGGGGGGATAGGGTGTCGAGCACGCTAATTCTTGAAAAGCTCGTATTTTTGTACAAAAGCTGAAGCTGGATTGGGGATGGATGGATTTGGGCGGGGGCTGGGTTTTATGCCCAGATATGAAAGGGGGATAAGCGGCTTTTCGGTAGATAAATGTCGGCAAAATCGAGCGGACCATCTGGTCCCGGGAATCCAGAAATGAATGCCATTGGGGCACACCCAGGGCGTGAGCCGGGCAAATGAGCCTTTTTCTAGAGAGTGTATTTTGCGTGAAGCCGTGACAGCTCGTTAGTCATATTCCAGATTTATAGCCCCTGTCGTATCATCTTTATTCTAGAATTCCAGACCCTTTTAAAAACAACTCCCCCCCCCCCTTGTTGCACGTGTCTTTAACAATTTCTTCCCTTGTAGAACCCCCCATTGACTACAGCGAACACTTATCCCATTTTGCGGGAACCGATTCCGGACCCCCCCAGCCACCCAATCCGATTCCACCCCAATCCAGCAACCACCCTAAGAAAAAAGGCAATACACAAAAACGGGCAACACCACACGAAACGACTGGTTGTGGCCGTCGTCTGGGAAAAGAGGAAATAAGAAATGATGGCCCAGGAAGAGAGAGACAAGGCAAAAAGTGAATTCGATCCAGTCAAATGTGTAAAAAGTAACCTGTGGTGGGTATAAGCGAAATATTCGTGTGGGTTTTTAGGGATTTTAATTATTATTCTTCTTCGTCCTCCTCTTCTTCTTCTTCATATTCGGACTCTTCTAGTTCTTCGACCTGAAAGCTATTTTTGTTAAGCTTCTTAGTTCTGTGAAGTCTCAGTTTTTAAATTTTGTTTCTAGCATTTTCGTTTAGAGAAAGCTAGAGCTTTTTTTTAAGTTTTAGAACGTCCGAAATAAGGTAATTCGCCGGTAAAATGGATCTTTTTTTGACCCGCCGTGGCTTTACCACTTTTTTATTGAAAATTATAATGAGATAGTTTTTTCAAAAACTTTAAGCACTTTCTAAAGCTTATAATAAAGGAGATATCGTATTAAAAGTCCTACCTCTTCCTCATCCTCCTTGACCCCTCGCTCCACATGATGGCCAATCGCGGGCGCCTCGGCTTTCTCGGTCTCCTTCTTCTCATCCTCCTCCTCTTCATCACTTTTTTCCTCCTTCGAAACGTCCCTACGCATGACACCAATGAACGGTCGACGCCATGAGGAGGAGCCGGATGCGGCGGGTTTAGGCTTGTTTTCCTTCATTTCATACGTGTAGAGGCCCTGAAAAAGATAGGGTTATAGTCAAAATCATGGAAATTTAAGGTTTGTCAGTATTTTTTTAAGATTTAAGGCTTTTTTGTTGAAATCGAGCTTTTAAGGCGGCTAAAAATTGGTTCACTACCCCCGCAAATCCGCAAGTTATGGCCTTGTTCTTCCGGAAATCCCCCCTGATGGATTATTCCAATCTGGTGCACAGCGGCATCCCTCGGACAATATCCGGGGGGGGCTGCCCCAGACTTTGGAAGCCCCGCGGAAATCTTGTCTTGACGCGTTATTATTCCCTGGTTTGTGTGGTGGCAAAAGTCGTCACATTGACGTCCAGGCTTTCTGGGTGGTGTTTAAGGGTTTTGATATTGGTTGGCTGTCAGGAAGGGGGCTTCAAGTGGTCGTCTGGCGGTGGGTATTGACGTGGTTTTTGTTTTGTTTTTCTTGTGGTTTTTTAGGATTTTTGTAGTATTTTGTAGGCTATATTTCACAAGAACCAGGTACCCTGGTTAATTTTGACTTCACAAACCCTATAAAAAGTGCTTATCGGCCGAGAGTGGGCTTTTTATTAACTCAAATTTACAAAAATACCATAATCGTTTAGCGCTTCTTAAAAATATGATTTCTTTCAGTATTTTTTAGTTAGCTATAGGGCTAACAAGTCTTGTCCTAAAACTTCAATAGCACCTAAATACGGCTTCTTGTTATGTCGTGGAACGTATTTAATTTTTTTAGACTGTATTTTTCTTCATTATCACATTAGCTACCACATCCCCACAATACATAGTATCAAGAAGGATTATTCAATTTTACGAAACAAAATTGGCTTTTCCATCACCCCTTCCACTACGTTTTCCCACCCCCTCCGTGGGCGTTAATGACCCAAAATGGGAGGTCCGGATAATTTTGTGCCACCGCCATCCCAGGAGTCGCACTGCACCCACCCCGGAAATTGTCTCGCTCGACTGAATTTCAGAACTTTTTGCTCTTTCTTCGCCTTGTTGAACTAGATACTCTTCTTTCTATATTCAAGGTGTTTCAACTTGGCTTTAGCAAACGGAAACAACAGCGATTTTGCGCAATTAGGGCGCCATTAGGGAGCGGGAAGAGGGCTTCTCCACTGCTCCTCCTCCCCGCTAATGCTCACAAAGATATCTTCTGTTAGCGGCTGGCTCGTGGCCGCCCTCTAGACGCGAGAGAAGGGCTCTAGGGAATGCAAATTTGTTCGGAAGGGGTTTTGGATGGGGAGAAAGAGGGGTAGAGGAGGAGGGGGAGGAGGAGCAGTGGCCGGTATTGTGGTCCTAGATGGGATTTTCTGGGGCCCGAAATGGGTCCTAAGGATATGTCGGTCAGTTGAGTCACGGATTTGGTGGTTGAGTTCAGGAGTCTCGGTTTGGTAATGATTTTCGAAGTATTTCTGCTCATTTGAATATCTTATATTAATTTTTAGTGCTTTGTAGTTGTTCCATAAAAGCATATGGTAGCAGCTTCTCTCTCTCTCTCTCTCTCTCTCTCTCTCTCTCTCTCTCTCCTCTCTCTACCTCTCTCATTATTTTTCTCTCTCTATCTATATCTATATCTTTCTCTGGCTGCTCTGTCTCTCGCTTTCACATTACGGGCTCAGGTAAAATCCTAAGACTATATTCTGATGCACCTGATCCCAGAAATTTGACTAACCCCTACAAAACCCAAAAGATTACCATATCTAATACCTGATTCCGAAGGGATTCCCACTTAAAATCCGCAAAAATTTGAAAGTGATTCCCCCACCGAATCCCCGCCATATCTGCAGATTACTTTCCCATAACACGCCCCCTCAGTTGGGCGTATTATGGTGGCTCCGGGTCTGCTGGCGCCGCCATTTAAAGCCAAATCATCCCACTCCAGATTCACTTGATTTCACTGTCATTTTAGAACGAGCATAAATCTTCTATTTTGGTTGTCATAAGCCGAGCATGACCGCCGGGAGGGGGAATATATTGCGAGCGTTGAGCCCGGGATTTTTTGTCAGAATCGCGTGTGGGGGCTGGATTTTTGTGGGATGGGGCCTGGGGGTAGGACTCGGAGGACCGCTAGGATATATAATAACCGAATTTTGCCTGTATATTTATAAGCATCGTATTGCCTTTAATAACCAGACTTTCCAGTCTTATCAATAACCTTGACGGTGAGATTTTTTACAGAAAGAGGGCTGCTAGAGAAAGGTTTTATATTTTTTGAATATTTTGCATCGCCGGAATTGCCGGAAAATCGAGGGTAAAAATAATCGTTTTTGAATACACTATTAAGAGTGCGACTACGCTAATAAAATTATATTAAGGGCGCCTAAAAGGGAAAATACGGTACTTATCTATTACTGAGTTTTTGGTCCTAAACAAACGTTTAGCCTCTCTTAGAATTTGGAAAATGTTCAACCGCCAGAATCTGCGGCACCACTTGCGCGTCGGGTCGCATTTTTCTCAGAAAACGCGATGCCATATATTGTGAAAGGACACAGGGGGGAAACTAACGAGGCGTGACTTCCGATTCGAAACGACCTGCCCCGACAACCCGCCCGGCCCGGCCGCCGCGGCCACCACCAAAATTATGAGCCCATTCCCCCACCTGAGTCCCCTTTTTTCTTGTTGACTTTGTTTTGGTTTTTTTCGCTGTTGCTTATTCTTCTGGAGTTTCTTTCTACTTTATAGCAATTTCCTTAAATTTTCGAAGCCAATTCCAAATTTCATTGAAAATTAAAATGCAGAGAATTTAGCCCATCTACGATGCGATGCTAGTGTTCAACACGACAGCCGTTTTTGACTTTGACAACTTTCTAACAGACGAGAACACTACCGTAACCACAGAGTCAGGCCCAACGATCGAGAAAGTCGAGCCGTCACCTGCCTTACCGTTTCACAGCTTTCTACCCGTTATTTGTAAGTTATAGGAATTTTCTAGGATTTTGGTTGTAACCGAATTAAAACAGAAGATGCAATTAAATAGATTACAAATCTTGAATTCCCCTTTCAGTGGTCGCATCCGTTTTATGGCTGCTGGTCTACTGTGCGTTAATTTCTCAACGGGTACTTGGCGAAAATGGCTATGATTTTTTGAATAACCGACTTCACACGACGCATCCATCGTATGTTTTTACAGACTCTAATTTAATTTGTACTTAAATTTCAGTGCTGATGATGATAAGGCATCCGTGGCATATGTTTGAAGATGTGAAACATGAAGATTCAAATATTTAAAAAAAATCCTGTAACTTTCAAAAACGAACTTCGGGTCCAAAACGTCTATTGACTGTATCTCGGAATGTGATGCTCTTTTACTGCTGCAGCGTATCTGTTTATCGATCGGATCAATGGTTTGGCAAATAGCGAATAAAATATATACGGCCATTCTGTACATCATGGAACTATTGACGACACTAGGCAAAGGGTGGAAAAAGCAATTTAAAGCTAGCACACATCACGTAGTTTGTACCGAGAAGGGATTGGGATTTTAGAGGGGTTGCAATGTGCTAAAATCAAGGTCGCTCTTGGGCTAGGTATCGACAACTACAAATCACTACAAATTACGCAAAAATTCTATTTTTATTTTGTATTTTGGAGGGAAACGTAGCTGTCGATGCCCAAGGCACTTTTACTTTTCTTAGTCTTCGCAACCCCTTTAAAATCCCAAAAAATGAAAATCACACAGCCTGGATAGCCGTCGGTGTGCGGCTTAATTTGTAGACAGCTAGCGGCTCCTTAAAAAGAATAAAAAATTGAATTGCGTTTTAGTGAAAATCAAGCAACAGAAATGGTTAGCCGCAATTTTGGATTTTGCAAAAACTTTGCCATAAAGCATACGACCGACAACAATGAACAAGCTCACCGGATGTGGGGGATAGATACGTCGACCATGCTGTTTTGTTGAGCAACAAATGTTTACAGTCAAGGCAATAAATTACAATTTTTTGGGACGGTTTTATAAATATTCAAATTGAATGAAAAGGTAATGGGTTTTTGAGATTGGATGAATGTAAAATAAAATTCTTATTTAAGAGATGGTGTCTAAGAACTAAAATGATGGAAATGTGATAACACTATCCCTTTAAAAAGTAGCCTTCATTTCGCTAAAGAGAACTTACCGTAGCCCCGCTCAAAAGCGCTCAGCACGAAGGCGACTCGATTTCGTGGGCCGACCAACCGGTGACGGAGACTTCTTCGGCTTTGTCGGGCTCAAAGCACCTCGACTTCGCCAGGGGACCCCATTTTGTGGCTCTCGAACACTTGATGAGATCGAAGCCTGCTCTACCGTATACATTTTCTTCGGAACGATTGGTGAGGCTTCACGTGCTTCTTTTGGGTCTTCCACTTTCAAATCGCCATTTTCGCTCGGGGCTTCAACTTTGTGGTCTTCTTGTTGTTCGACTACTGGCGCCACTTCAGATACTTCCGGCTTAGGTTCAACACCAGAGTCCTCGACCTTTTGAATCTCAAGCTTCGCGTCGACCTCTTGTGCAACCTCTTCGGTTTTGGAACTCGGTTCAGCCGCCTTTGGTACTTCCGGTTGTGCGGCTTCAACGTTTGACACCTCAGGTTTTGGCGCGTCAGCTTTCTTCTCCCTTCGCCAGGAGGGTCGGACCGGCGAAGCATCTTTTTTAGCTTCGTCGACTTTGGCCTTCTTCGGACCTGCAACCAATTTACCGTTCTCCTTCTTCTCGACACCTGCTTTGGTTTTTGGAGCCGAAGAGCTTGAAGCTTCTGTGGTAGAAGCTACCGACACCGGGGAATCGGTCTGAATTCTAACAACCGGTTCCGGGGTCTTCTTCTTCAGCTTTTTCTCGGCTTTAGGAGTTGTAGGGGTAGGTTCAAGCTTTTCTGCCGTTGCTTTTTTGATCGGCTCTGGGCTCAAGGGCAATTCCTGCGGAAGTTCCGGAGTTTTGGCTGCGGATTCTGTGTTTACCGGTGCTTTTGTGGCGGGTGCTACTGGTTTTCCATCGGCTGGTGATGATTTAGATTTTTCGGGCTTAGGCTTACGCCAACTTGGCTCAGACTTGACAGCGGGCTTTGCATCTTTTGATTCAAACTTTTGTGTCAAACCTCCGACCAACCTTGGGACAACTGGACCTCCACGAGACAGTGGCCCTGCCGAGTTTCGATTGGCCTTTGATTCGAACATTTCATGCTTATCTTGAATCCTATTTTTGACCAAGCTAGCTCTAGGTTGTGGTGAGAATCCAGAGGGACGTACTGGTGCTGAACTCGTCCCTTTTCGTTCTGGCTTCAGATTGGTTTCCTTGGGTTCCGCCACTGGGGCATGCCCATTTTCTACCAATTTCTCTGGCGACTTTCGTGGTGAGATGGATCGATCCTTCTTACTATTCACTTTCGGAATAGTTTTCCTTAACTTTTCCAAGTCAGCCTCCCGCTTCCTCCTCTTTTCCTCCAGCTCCTCCTTCAACCGTTTCTCCTCCTCCAATTTTTCGCGTTTCTTCTCTTCCTTCCGCCGTTCCGCTTCTTCAGCCCGTTGCTTTTCTCTCATCTCCGCTTCCTGTCGTTTTTTCTCTTTTTCTTCTTTCTCTTTCTCTTTCTCTAGCTCTTTCTTTCTCTCCCGTTCTTCTTCCATCTGTTTCCGCTTTTCTCTTTCTGCTTCTATCATTCTTGTTCTTTCATCTTCTTGTTCTCTTCTCTTCTCTCGTTCTCTCCTCCTTCGTTCTAATTCTTGCTCCATTGCCTGCTCTTTTTCCTTTTCTTTTTGTCGTTCTTCTTCGAGTCGGGCCAATCTTTCCTTTTCTCTTTCCAATCTCTTCAATTCCCATCCCTTTAGAGTCTTTTCAGGATCTCGTTGTGATCCAGATGGTGCTTCATCAATCGGCTTTTCAACCTTTGTCTGAACTTTGGCTTCTTGGTCCACTTCCGTCAATTTCAGCTCCTTTTTGCGGTGTACTTCCGGGAGTTCAAGAATATCAGTCGTATGCTTCTTTTTTGGCTTTTTCTCGGCTTTCAATCCTTGAATCGTTTGATCTTGTTCTTGTTCAGGGAGTTGCAAGGCTTTTCGTTCAGACGGATGTACTTCCAGGATATCGCAAACATGTTGGTCAGATTTCGAAGGTTCCGGTTCTTCAGCTAGGATCATTGGTGCCGTTCCCTTGGTTTCCGGAGTAACTTCTGGCCGTGGCAAAGCTGCTCGAGTTTCCTGAGCCTGGGAAACAGCTTGCTTTTTCTTTGCGACGACCATCTTAATTTCTCCTTTCTTCTCTTGTCCTTGTGGCTTGAACGGATCTAGTTTCTTCGGTTCCGGCTTAACTTCCGGCTTAGGTTCAGGTTTTCGAACCGATTCTGTCTTCTTGATGACAGTTGGATCGGTTTTCGGGGTGGCATAGACAGGTTCGGTATCGAATTCCATTTCGGGCCGGGCTCGCTCCATGAACTTGTTGAACTTGTCGACGGGCTTGGGCTTAGGCTTCGACGTCTCAGCAAGGATCATTGGTGCCGTGCCGCTAGGCTTTGGCTAAAATAGAAAGTTTTTTAGGTACTATATTCACAACGAGCATTGAAAGCGAAATGATAGGAAGGGGTGCTTTGAATGGGAAAAATAAGAGGCAGGGGATTAACGCAAATACAATACAACGGTGAAAGCATTAAATTAAGCTTTAAAGGGATTGGAAACTTGTTACGTTTATGAATTTGTAGTTGGCTATCCCTTTAAAGCTATGACAATTCGTACAACATCTGCTAATCTAAAAAATAAATCACAACAATAATAAGTGAAAGTATAGTGAAAATCAAAAAAATCAAGGGCATGCAAATGGTTATGCAAACTTTCTGGACGGTACGACAAGGTTACTGTACGTTTTAGAAGATTGTATCTTTTCTAGATTAAACTAATCAGTGTTATGATATTTGTTTGATTTACTATTTCCAGATAAGGCCGACAACACAAGACGCCAAGCAACAATACACGACTACGGTAGACAACATTTACGAGCCGTTTTTACCGTTAGCTTCATCGCCTGGACCCCAATTTTGGGTTCTGTGCCCTTGGAGGGCATTGTTCCTTGCTGAATCGGAATTTTTAGATGATACTTTTGAGCGATAACTTTAGTTTTATATAATTTTGATATGTTTAAAATTCCCCCAAAAAACTAACCTCAGCCTTTCGCTTTGCCTCTTCTTCTTCACGCTGTTTCCGTCGAAGGATCCGCCCTGAAAAGTAAAAATTACGAAAAAGTTGTTTGAAAATAAGGAATCTGACAGGAGGAAAGAATGTGTGGAAAAATTGTTCCGCTGGTCATTGGCTAGTCCTATTCTAAAATGCATTCGAGTCGTTAGTTCGAGGCTTTTGGAGGGGTCCCCAAAAAACAAGACCCTCAATGGTGTTAGAAATGGAAGGACTTTCGAGAGTCATAGCTCAAAAACGTAAATATAAAGCCCAGAAATGAAATAAATATCTACTAGAAAACTAGAGAAAAATAATCTAGCTGACATTAGCAGCGCCAGATTGTAACTAGGCATATAACGTAATGCTTTAGGTATAGTACATTCCATTATTAACAACTTACGAATCTCGCCGTTTCGCAGTGTTGTTTGCTCGATTTTATGGCGTCCCTCGGGTAACCGCAATGTGAGTGACACCTAAAAGTTGGTCGCTTAGGATTGGGGAGTACGGAATTAGTAGCTGACCGGAAATTGGGTCTATTCTTTGCGGCCTGGGCGCGTGGGTTTGGATTTTAAAGAAGGCTTTCTGGATGTTGACGCACTGCCAGTTTATATAGCTATATTAATGCGAAAATTTGCTACTATTGACTCCTATTCAAACTATTAATATGTAAAATATAAACTTCTTATTAATGTGCATAATAACAGCTACCACCCCCAAACAGCAGCAGGACAAGTACCAAAAAGTGATCCTGCTTTTCTAGAATCGCTCTCTTCCCCGTACCTTTAAAGGTCACGTGAATCCCCAGAATAGCCTCGCGGGATAAATATAAACACCTACCTTGCATAGCCCGTGATTCTTCTGGATCGCCTTGATTATGTTCTTCTCGGCTTCGGTGGAAAAGCTGACACCCTGGAATCAACAAAATAGGAAATCAAAATTGTAAAATACCTGGTTGACAGCCTTGATTTCCTCTATCGACTCGTTTTCAAGAGCCGCTTCGAAAAGGCCACTAAAATTAGCATATACACAAAAATTTAACATTTTTACCTGAAAAATTCTCCACTCAAATAGTTCGTCTCCAAGTTGATATGCTTGAGGTGTTGGTTAAGGCGAATGGCTTCGATTAGAATCTGAAAAATAATTGGTAGAGAGAGAGGGAGAGAGAGAGAAAGATGGCCTAGAATTGGTATCGTTGCGTAAATGTCCACTTTTTTGGGGGCCAAGAAGAAGCCGACAATCTGTTTCTATGGCCACCCCTGAATACATGTGTGAAACGGGTGTGTGCTTTCCCTTCCCAAAAAAAATGCTTTCCCAAAAAAAATCTGGTTACGCCATGGGTAATTTGGTGGTGGTGCTGGGGTTCAGCTGTTCGGGACCGGCACGTAGGGTGGTAATTAGAATTCGGGAATGGTAATCAGATTTTTAAAGGCGGTCTAATTAATAAGTTTTGTCTGAATTTCCATGATTGCCCTCGTTAAGGTGATAAAGGGCTATTACAAATATATAAAAAAGGGTATAGAAAAACTTACCGCAACGTCATGATCATAGAGGCCCATATTTGCAAGGCTCAGTTTTTCTAGATGCTCATTGTAAGCCATCGCCTCGATCAATCGTCTCAACTGGGGCACTGGTGTTCTCTAAAAAAGAATAAATTAAAATTGCGGAGGAGAACGAGAGAGAGAGAGAGAGAGGGATAGAGAGAGAGAGAGAAGGAGAGAAAAAGACAGGGCCAGAGAGCGACAAAACCATAACCCACTTTCATATTATTCAAATTAATCTGTGTCAAGTCGGGGTCGTTTGATTGGAGCTGTTGAATGCATCTAAAAATTATTTGCAACTTCTGGCAACTCTTTTCATACTTATCAACATTTGTCTCATTGTCTGGTTCGGTGGGTCGGGTCTGTTCGACGAGGGAGCATTTTATAGGCTAAAATATTACGTATCTTTTAGTTCACAAAAATTACTTCATCGTTAGCATCTGCCATGATCCGTTCTGCCTCTTCCCAGGTGATCATGTGGTTCTCATTCATCGCTTCTAAAATGGAAATTAAGAGTTTGGGTTTTAAACAATGTTTCAATTTCAAATTTCACACTAGATTTTACCCAACATCTCCGTTCGGAGGAGATCATCGGAATAATGCATTTTGCCTGGATTAATTATAGGCGGTAAGGAAGAGAGTATAGTACAATGTAAGTGTCTTTAATAGCCTTTAAAAATGCTTACTTAACAGTTCTCCAATTTCCGTTTTGTCATTGAGAGGGAGGTCCTCCATCGCTCGGAGGAAATCCTCATCTGTCATGTCATCGACGTCGACACTCATTTTTCTAAGCGAATCTTGTAAAAGCGAGAGAGAGAAAGAGAGAAAGAGAGAAAGAGAGAGAGAAAGAGAGATAGCGGACACGACGCTAGATAATGAATTTGACAACAACTGTATTATGAAGTATCGCAAACTTTAAAATTCTAGCGTCCGCCCTTCAGTCGATCGACTTCTGCCCAATTTGCAAAAAAAAAAATGAGAAATGCGGAAGGACCAAAATTGGGAAACGGCGAGGGATTGGGATCGGACACTCGAACCGTGAGGGCCCAACAAGGGCCCAACGGCCCAAATAGACCCCCACAGAGCCAAAGGATAGGAAGAGCCCCCGCGGTGGGCGATCAGCTGCGATTTGTTAGACGGTTTTCTTGGAGGAATCGACAAAAATTAACAATATAGAGAACTTCGATCCCAAGAAAATTTTGTGCCTTCAAAATAGCGCTTAAAATGAGATGACGTTTTAAAAACTTTGCGTTGTTTTTAAAGGTTGAAAGTAACCCAGGTAAGTGCCGAAAATCGATGACCAGTGCAGGAGGGCACGTGCTGTGCTTTAGGCAAAAACGGAAAGGGAGGCCCGGATGGGGCGGTTAGGGGGCTTTTTTTGTTTTGGCTGGTGTGAGGACGGTCGATGTTCTGGACAGCTGATAGTCGAAATGGGGGAGAGGGATAAAGGTGAGTCAAGGGGAGAGGGAACGGTTTGACGTCATAATGAAAAGTATTGAGAAATGAAAATCCGGAAATTAAGATTTTGGGGTAGTTAGGAGCGATTAAAAATAACTGAAAAGGGCGTAGAAACATTTTTAAATGCACCGATTCTAAATACTAAAAATACGCAAATAGGGAAAGAAGGTTTAGAAATGATTTCAATAAAATTTTGAAGCTGAAGAAGTCGTTTGATTTTGCGGTGAAAATTAAAATACAGTGAATGTGAAGTTTAGGGTTAAAAGGCAGCCAAAAAATTTCGAATAGCGGTGAAATCGGTATGTTTTAGGCTTAAGTTTAGGCTCACGCTAGGTTTAGGATAGGCTTCGGCTTAGGCTTAGGTTAGGCTTCGGCTTAGGTTAGGCTTAGGCTTAGGCTCAGGCTTAGGCTTGGGCTCGGCTTAGACTCGACTTACGTTTAGACTCGGCTTTGGCTTAAGCTTGGGCTTAGGCTTAGGATGTGCTTATTAGGCTTAAGCTTTACCTTGGTCATTTGCAAGCCAGAAGCCCACTCGACAACCTTAAAAAAAGATGAAAGCGGTTCCAGGTCCAACCGGATCGATCGGGTTCAAAGAAAAGAGGATGTGTGTGTGGGCCGGGATGGTCGTGGAGTATTTTCTGTTGGCCGGTACGTCAAGGGGGAGAGTGAAAAAGAGAGAGACAGCGAGAGAAAGAGAGAAAGCGGTGGTGGAGGGATAAAGCGTCTTTCGGGCTCTCCAGCGGCTTCGAGTCGAGTTGGAAATGTTTGGCCGTGGCCCCACGGCCTCAACCTCAACACTCCCGCCCTTCTTCTACTAACCCTGAAGGTTCTCGGATGGGTCGGTGTGTGTGTCCCAGATGTGGCCCAGCCTGGTTGATGTCGGAAAATTCAACGGAAATGGCGCACGACCCGGGTGGGTAATTGGGTTCCGGGGGCACAGCCGAAAAATTGGCTGCTGGCAGATTGAGTGATGGGCAATAAAAAGCGGAAAGTTGCGAGTTTGGCTTTTTTTAAAGAGGCATTAAGGGGAAATGTCTCTGAAAGCCCAATAGATTTCATTCTTAGTGCTTTCTAAAAACCTCTAAAATATTTATCTAAAAATCACTATCTAATACTATTTAGTTTATATGTATTGGGATCGCATGCAAAATTTCGTGCTATTTTTACGTACCTAAATCCGAAGCTGATATTTTTGATACTGACAAACTTCATTAAGTATAGAAGAGGAAAGCCAAATTTTAAAAACCCTGCGGTTTTCGATATTAAATTTGTTTTTGTAACAATTCTGCATATTCCATATGGATCAATTAGCATATGAAAATTTAACCTCAATAACAGCAATTTTTAAAAAAATATTTTCACCTTAAAACTCTTAAAAATAACCCCCGCGATTGTGTGGCCGGACTGGATGACAAATAGAAAAGCCTACGCACGACTGCGTGGGACTCCAACAGACACCGATTTGCGTGGAATTTTGAGCTCCTCAAAAAGGGGGATAAAGCTGGATGTTCAGCCCTAATAAGAAGTCCATTTTCGAACGTATCAGAGTTCATATTTTTTTAAAGGTTGTTTAGAAACACTCAAAAAGTGGTCTGTTGACTTGGGTGACCAGTGGCGAGAAGTGGTGGGGGTTTGCAAGGTAATCTTTGAATTTTATTGCGAGAAGCGGGGTGGTGGATGCTTGGAAATTCATAACGGGCGAAGCGGGGTGAGGAGAAAGTAAGGTAAAGTTCTGGAGGGCGATATAAATGTTATATTTTATTTTTGGGCACTGGATTGTCTGAGCGGTTGCGCTAAAAATCGGAATTTTTTTTCGAGAAGTTTAAAGGGGTGTGCCGCCAAAATCGGGATTTTCTTGGGGTCAAAAGAATCAGAAGTGCTGCCCGTGCTTATTTGGCGCATAGAAGAAATTCTAATTAATTTTAAAGATGGGAAAATGTTATTGAAAAAATGGAGCGCTTTATCTAAGCAAAAATTTAGCAAAACAACTTCACAATTCAAAGCAGAGGGTAAACCTGCAAAAGTTTTCAGAAATGGACGACAGACCAACAAAAAATATTTAAAGAAAATTCATCAAAATCCTAAAAATTAACAGCCTTAGCCCGCTTTTTCATAGTTTTGAATGCTCGAAGACGCCCAAATTTCGTCAAAAACCCAAAACGAAAAATTTGCATGCAATCTGCATACACCAATCGGCACATCATTCATCAGAGGGCAATGAACTAGGCAGCGTAGTGGAGTGGTGTGGATACTACAAGTTGTCATAAGAACGGGCGTGGGGAGCAACAGCACCACCACCTCGCTCCCATATACCTTATTGAAGAGCCTATTGTGGGCATTGAGGGCGGTGAGGGTGCTAGAAATGTTGAGACTGGAGGAGGAAGGAATGAAGGAATGAAGGAATGGAGGTTCGTGGAAGAGGAGGGTGACCTTGTTGTTCGTCTCTGTTCTCTTGTATTTCATCTACTAGTCTTCTAGCGTCTCTTCGTGGAGGGTTGAATATGCCCTAATGGTCATGACCGGTTCCTTTTCCGGGGTGCTTAAAAAGTGGTTAAAAGGCGGTGGAGAATGAGGAAGGAATTAACTGAATTTTTAGCCTATTTCCCACTATCCTAATTCATCTATGAAGAATTTTATAGAGCCTACAAAATATTTTTAGAACTGATATTTAGGAATTAGAGGCAAAACTCTTTAAAGGGACGGGGAAGGCAAAGCCAGATATACGGATCGAGATTTCGAAGGATGCACCTTTCGCTGCGGCAGTAGAAACATAACCCATTACGCGATGAAAATCTAGGCATAAGCTTTGCGTGTCCCTACGCGGCAAAATCCATCAGGAATCCATAGAAAAACCCCTAGTTATGCGTTATCCGTCTCCTTAAAAAGCCTAGAAAGCGTCAGGATCGACTCCTGCACCCACTAGGTCTCGACAACTACGGGAAACTTCAAGAAAACGTAGCGTTCTCGTTTGGCATAGAACGTAGCTATCTGATCTAACGGGCAAAAATATCGATTCTTGGGCTTCCTGTCCTTTTAGAATGTCGAAATGGTTATGGAGAATTTTGCGTCTCAAACAAAACCTATTAAGAATTGTCAAAACATTTTAAAGGACACTTGAAGTCAACAATCCCGACAAGCCAGTAAAACCATCAACCCCCATTCCCGAACGCGCCAAGCCCTCCCAGACACTGAAAAATGTGAGGTTGAACAAAGAAAGCCACAGGTGCCGCCGCGCCCAATATTTGAATATCCAAAACGACCAAAAGGGGGTGAGGGCGTGCCCCATTTTGGGGCGGCTACGGTAAACAGAAACGCCGTCGAAATGGAGCCGAAATTTGTTTGGGGGCGGAGGGGGTGACAACAGAATGTTCCTCTGGACGGGAGAGGAGGAAAAGGCTGAATCACGTCCGAAAATGGTTGGCAAACGTTTTTTGGCGGGGTTCGGGGGGTTCGCGGTACGTTTTTCGGGGTGATTGGAAAGTAAAGTTTTGAATGTGCACTGCTACAAATTTGGGTGTAAAGGTAAAAGTAGTTTCGCTGAAAAACGCAATTAAAGCTGTAAATTTTGTTAATCATAAAGAAATAGGTTTAAAAAAATAATAATTTAAATGTGCATAGAAAAACCGCGGATGTTCTATCATAAAATAGTTTAATTCAAATCCATGTCCACGCTGACAGGCTTCAAATTAGTTTAAATGACCATTAAAGGCTAATTCTAGGCGACCGTGGGCTGGCCGATAATTTTAAGCGAGTATTTAATGACTTTTATCTAAGTGAGCAACAAAATTTCCATAACTTAAAGCATATCCGTGGGAAATGACCAATAAAATAATATAATAATCTATAGCTGTATCAGCTGGTGTTAAATTTATCCCGACCCCAGGCTTCAAAATTTGAATAATTAGTATATATCCGTTCGTACAAGCTTACTAAATGGATCCAATAACAATAACAATTTCGCAAAGCTGTTTATGTTGTCCATCGGAATGCCATGAGGGGGTGAATATAGGCAACAGCCGGTAGGGATCTAAGGGAAGGGGATGGCAGAAGAGAAAGGCGCTGGGATCTCATGGAGAGGGTCCAAAAGATTTCAAGAAAACCGAGGTGGGGACATGGTGGGATGAGAGAGAGAGAGAGAGAGAGAGAGAGAGAGATGCTCTAGTCGACAGCAGCAAGCTGCCGGGCAGTCAGTCGGTCGGGCAGTCGGTCGGCGGCCGTCCTGTGTAACACGGACACTCAGAGAGGGACAGACAGACAGACAGACACACGCACACGGAGCACATACACACACGCACACACACATACACACATACACACATCTCGGC